ACAATTCTCTGCATGGCCTCGGCGTAGTCAAGGTTCAAACAACTCGAGGTTTCTGCTACTTGTTGCGCTGTCCGCACAATCCTCTGCGTGGATCGGCATGGTCGAGGTTCCAAACACTCGAGGTTTTTGCTACTTGTTGCGCTGCCCGCGCAATCCTCTGCGTGGCTCGGCGTTACTGTATCTTGACTCCAAGACAGCTTGTCCTGAGTTTTTGCAAATCTTGAATCCAGGTAGAGACTTTGACGTTTTCCCAAAACAAGGTGATGCCTGGACTCGCTTCTTCGTGGTTGTCACGTGAAGCCCTGCACCTGCTTGTACCTTTATATCTACATATATATATATAGCACTTGCTGGCTTAGCAGTGACCGAGGGAATGACCCGTATAAACCATCCAACTGGTGGTTTCCTTTATTTGGGGACCCGAGCGATGCATATCGCGCCAGCAAGCCATGTATATACAGATATACAATCAGAGGACCCCCGACTTTGGCTGCAACAGGTGGCCGTATATGTAGATATACATGTTAATAATATGGGTTTTATCTTTTAGGCGCATAAATAAATAAATATATATATATATATGTATATATATATATATTCAGAATATTCATAAAATGGATTCTATATATATATATATAATATTTATCAGACGAGTCGGACCTTTGACGGTTAAAGGCCCTTTTTCTTCGCCTGTGTTTTTTCCTTTCGCCTGAGCTTCCAGGCCAAGGAGAAGCCGAAGGCCAAGCCGGAGGCCAAGGTGCCGGTGGGCAGCCCACAGCGACCGCTGCCGCCGCCCCCGAAGACCGTGGCGCCCTCGAAGCCCGGGGAGATGAAACCCGAGAAGGACACAGCGCGAGATGGCGGCGTTGGCTGTGGGTGGTGGGTCAAAAAATCGGCCCAGGGGCTTCCGAGTGATTCGGAGCATGTTCAAATGGCTGTGGGTGAAAGATTGGGAGGGTAGCCCCCACATGGGTGTTGTTTCAAAATGGGTAAAAACACCCCTTGTTTGGTTGGGGTTTGCAAGTGAAGTTGGGGGAAACCAGCCTTTTTTTGCGCGGGGTTCAGCTATTTTGAGATGGACCCTTGAATGGCTTCGCGCGGTTTTTGGGAAAGGACGAAAGTTCCGGCGGTCCAATTCCTGGTTCAACAACATGTTGACCCATACCCAGTTGAGCGGCAGGTTGGGGGCGGGTTTGAGGCAAAGATGGGTGTGTTGGCAACCTCCTCTCCTTTCTTTTGTTGGCAAACCTTTGGGGTGTAGGCAACCAGTTTTCTCGTCAGGGGAATTCGTGTTCAATTCGTCGGGAAGGAATTCCAATGGAAGGCTCGCTCGTTTGGATCCTTTCACAAGGATCACGGAGTGAAAGAGTCTGTATGGCTATTTGGTAACGGATCTTTGGATGGCCTGAAGGATTCTTTGGTTGAACCAGGTTGGAGTTTCCAGCCCACAAAAGGTGAAACACTTTTTGCAGATGGGTCTCGCCAGCAACGAAGGCCGGAGTTGGTCAGGTTTGGGGTTGCAACCTTTTTTGGTGAGGAACAGATGGTTGTGTTGGCAACCTCTTCCTTGTTGGTCTTCTTTTTGGGTAGAATTGGTGATCGATTAGTTGGGAAGGGGGGAACTGAGAGACATCGAGTCTTGCTTTTGTAGAGTGGGGAGGGTTGGTGGATGTTGGGAAGGTTGGGATTGGGCATGGGGCAAAGAGAAGGAAGCAGTACTGATCAGTTGGGTAACCGTGACGGTTGTTGTCGAACGGAGTCCCATGGAGATATCGGCCTGTTTCAAGTTTCCGGCGTCCGGGAGCTGTGAAGCAGCAGCTTTGCGGGAGTTGGGCAATTGAGGTTTTGAGGTTTGGGGAAATTGGCATTGGTGACACCCAGTGGTTGACGGGAAAGCAAGCTGCCCTGCCAAGTATGAATGGCGCAAGAAAGAACATCAAAATATAGGAGGGACACCACAATATGGTTAGGCTCAATCAACGCGGCCCTCTCCACCTTTTGGATGGGTATTCAGCAAATAGAAACTGAACCTCCCCGCTGCGAGCAGAATACGGGTGTTCTTGTTTTTGGCAGGCGGCTCTCTCGGAGCCGTGTAACTGTCATCGAATCTGAGTCTTGGGGTTGGGGAGGGGGGTTGGGGGGGGGGGTGGGGGGAGGCCAATGAATGCGGCGCTTCTCTGTTGCGACCACCTGTGCTTTGGGGGGTGGGGGGTGGGGGGGGGGTGCGAATGAATGCGGCGCTTCTCTGTTGCGACCACCTGTGCTTGGGGTGGGGGGTGGGGGGTGGGGGGGGGGGGGCAATGAATGCGGCGCTTCTCTGTTGCGACCACCTGTGCTTGGGGTGGGGGGTGGGGGGGGCCAATGAATGCGGCGCTTCCATTTCTGCTGTCATGTGCACCATAGCCGACGGAGCCTCCAGCCTAGGTCATTTCAGCTTCTTCTCGTGTAATCCAAGCGTTCATTTTCGCATTATGTTTATGTGTTCCAACAAGCGGGATTTTGGGCATATTTACTACGTATGTTTCTTCCAGCATCCCACGACGGAGCCTCCAGCCTAGGTCATTTCAGCTTCTTCTTGTGTATTAGGTCAAAAAACGAACTTTTCGGGGACCCCCTTTGCTCAGCCCATGTCGCAAGAAGTTTGAGTCAAATGAGGCAAAAACACCGCAAATACCAGTGAATTTGCCTTCTCGCACTTCAAAACACGCAAAATGCTGTCGGTGACAGTTACACGGCTCCCAGAGAGCCGCTTGCCTTGTTTTTTGGCGCGGTACCCTTCTCATTTTGTTTTTTTGAGGGAATGCCCTCCCACCAACTACCATGGAAGTGCACAGGCCACATGTTGGTGCTCAGCAGGGAATGAGGGAATGAACCTGGGGATTAGAGGAAACCACAGGGGATGGGAAAAAATGGTCATCTCTCGCAGCGATCGCAAGTAACTTGCTCCAGGAGAAGGAGCCCAAAAGCCTCAGCGTGCCGGCTCCGCCTGCGGGGCCGGCGCCGCCACCCCCAGAAGCGAGCATGTCGTCACCGAAGGCGGGGGATGGGTTGGGCGGGTTGATTGGGGGCGGGTTTGGGGGGGGGGTTGTTTGGTTCGTGAAGAGTTTTACTCAGATCACCCCCCTCAAATAATGAAACCAAGAACACGGTTTTTGGGAGCCCAAAGAATCCTCGGCATCTTTTGGGCAATGCTTTTTGGGTTCCAAGTGCATCTGTCGTTTGGGGGTTTGGACTTGTTGCCAGCCGAAGGTTGGCGCTCTCAGTGAGCTTGTCGATTGAACACCCGGCCAGGCAAAGGGCCAATGAAGCCAGGACCAGAGTCTGGTGGGGCGCGATTTGCTGCGCCAAAACCAGGAGCCCTGTCACCTTTTGCGCCCATGTTTCAAAGGGCAACCAAGACGAGATCCACATTTGAGCGAGTCAGTTTTGCTTGAGACACGAGCAATATCTTTTCAGATAGGTGTCTGATCATTGTTCGCGCTTATTCGTGTCATCATTCCCGAGCAGTTTCTTACTTTTCAGTACAGATATTTGGGAACCGTTCGGCCTAGTTTTGATAGGGCCGGGAGCAAGAGCTGGATCCAAGAAGTTTCGACTCGCGTTTTTCCTAGTTCTGGTCCCCCTCCTCCCGACTTGTTTCTTGTTGATCTCCATGCAAATGCTGCCTCATCCACCCAGCAGGAAGACGGGTCCCTTAAACTGGCTACTTTCCTTCTCACATTAGGTGCCTTCCAAAATGGCTTGTTTCCTTTCGATTGCCATGCAAATGCAACATTAAAGCAAGGAATGCTGATTTGGTGGCAGGCGCAGTACTTTGGATGCTCGCGCGTGGAAGTTCGTGGCAGGCGCAGCGCTTGTGTGCAGATTTCGTGGCAGGCGCTTTGAGGCGTTGGTGTCCGGAGCGTGCAGACGCAGTACTTTGCAGGGTCGTGCGTTCATTTTCTTGACATGCGCTGCTGCAGTTTTCAGAGTCTAAAGTATATATTGTGCACCGTTGTCGAGGCATGTCTCTGTTGATGACGTTAAACAAGTCTTCGGGAGATGTCTTTGCGACGTGGGGTCGTTGAGCTTTCTTTGTGGAAAGTGTTGTTGTGGATGTCTGCGCGATTGTCTTGGGTGATGTCTTGGAGGCGTCTTTGAACTTTGGGAATATCTCGCGGTTGTCTTGGGCGATGTCTTTGGGATGACTTCGCGGGTCTGAGAGGTGTCTTGGTGGAAGGTATTTAGGCTCATGTCTTTGGGGTGTCTTTGCGGTTGTCTTGGGTGATCACCCAAGACAACCGCAATGACATCCCAAAGACACTCCCCAAAACAGTACCAAAACAACGCCAAAGACATTCCACAGACACCTAAAATCATCCCCAAAGTCATCCCAAAGACGCCCAGAAGACACTCCCCAAAACACACCAAAGACATCGCGCAAGGCAAAGCGAAGACATCGAGACATCCCCCCAAAGCAAAACTTGAACGGCGCCCCCCAATGTCACCCCCAAAGACATCAGCTACTCCCACTGCAAGGCATTCCCAAACACACTCCAAAACATGTCTTTGGGGGATCCTTTGGTAATGTCTTCTTGGTTGTTTGTCTTGGGGGCTACTTTGGCAGGCGTCTTGGGGGGGATGTCTTTGTAGTAGAGGGATGTGTTTGTGGGGTGCCTGTGGGACGGATGTCCTTGGGAGCTGGATTGGCAGCATGTGGGCATCTTAGGGCGATGTCTTTCGTCCTTGGTCTTTGGAGGAAGCGTCCGCAGTTAAGGTGTCGGCGGGAGTCCGGTGGATGTTTTTCGAACGTGTTTGCAGTTGTTTTGGGCAATGTCTTTGGCATGACTATGGGGTTGTCCTTGAAAGGGATGTTTGTGGGCAATGTCTTTGAGGTATGTCATTTGGTTAGGGAGGGTTATAGCCAGGATAAAGAACACGTTACCACGACAAAGCGCATTGTTGCGCCGACAAATTTCACTGAAGACTGCCCCAACGAGGTGCGAATAACAAACACAAAGAAAGGAATAAGAATGGGTGAGAAGGCGGTAGAAAGCAATGAGGAGTTCAATGCAAGGTAATGAACAGTTCAATCGAAAGGACTGAGGAGGCCAATTGAAAGGAACGGGAAGGCCAATGGAAAGGAATGAGAAGGCCAGGAACAGGAATGTGAGGGTTCAAGCAAAAGGAATGAGAAGGGTCAATCGAAGAAAATGAGAAGAGCACTAGAAAGGAATGACAGTTTTAGTAGAAAGGAATGAGAAGTTCAGCAGACAGGAATGAGAAGGCCAAAAGGCCAATAGAAAGTATGGAGTGAGAATATGCACAAAAAGGAAAAAGACGTTCAACAAGCAGGAATGAGGAGGTCAATAGAAAGGAATGAGAAGGTCAATCGAAAGGAATGAGAATATCAATGGCAAGGAATGAGAAGGTCAATAGAAGGAATGACACGGTCAATAGAAAATGCATTTTTTTTATTGAGTTCTATTTGCCTTAGACCGCCCAGCTGTCTTTTAATCAGGAACAGACGAAACCAAACAGCTGAAAGGGCCGATCCTGAAGGGCTGGTCAAGCCTGTGACCAGGGCAGCTGACAGCTTTGACACTGCCACATGGCCATAGCGTCTCAAAGTTTCCCCTTTTTTTAGCTGCCCGCTAGAAGTTCTTACAAGGCAGGACGGGCTGCCTGATGCGGTTTGTTTTTGTTAGCGCTTGTCGGGGATATTTTTGCTTGATCCTCTGACTTTTCATTTTCATGGTAAATCTATGCAACAACAATATGGTTAATCCCTAATATGTTTCATCCTCAGGAATAATTTTGTTTGATGCCTAATCTTTCTTCGATTCCTCGCCCAGGAGCAGAGAACCGGTTCTTGCACATGGGCAGAGCCCATCGCGACAGACCACGAGTTTCGAGCAGAAATCGCGGCTGCAGCGATTGGGCGGTGGAAGGTGTTTAAATTGGGACAAATCAGGGGTCGACAGATTTAAAAGGCTGGTGAGACGATGTTTTTCGTGGTGTGCAGATGGGCGTGTCATCTACATTGCGTAGGTGGGCGCTTTTTTGTGGGCTTACAGGGAAACCAAAAGGACCACCTTTGCGCCAATTTGGGGGTCCAAATCCTAAAAAATGACGAACCACCTGGATGCTTCGACGGTCGCAAGAGCAACTAGGTCCCCCAGTAGTGCCCTTTTCCCCCTCTTTGGGGAAGGGGTTCCCCTACTAAAATAGACTACAAAAAAGGGTACCCTTATTCAAACCTCTCTCCTGGAGGACCTAGGCAAAGAAACCGGAGAGAGTTCCTGGTTTTTGGTTCACCTAGCAGCCGAGGCTGCTTGGGGAATGTGTTTGTGCAACTGCTTGCAGACTGTGATCATCTCCTGCGGAGCTCCCGACTCCTTCGACGTCTACGAGGCGATTTCGAGTGGATCAGCGGCCGGGCAAACGGGCGCAAAAGGTTCAGCCTTGCCACCCCAAGTTTTCCTTGAGAAGCCTCGCGGCTGAACCCCCGCGCCGTTTTTTTGAGTTCCGTGTGCATTTGCGGAGTAAGCTTCGCCACGCAGAGGGATGGGAGCCGTGGTTGAGGCCGCTAGCAGTACGGCTGATGCCCTGACAAAAATGCAAGTGGGGACCACGGGGATTGACAACCCCGGCTGATTAATACGGGGTGTCCGACGGAGGACATTCCTTCACTGTAGGAGACACCCCATTACACCAGATTGGCAAATCGGGGCTCAAGGTGAAAAACGAAATGCCCATAGTTTGTCAACAAATGCGCGAGACGACATGTGCCATTCAGTCGTGTGCCGCACTCCTTTGGCCCGCGCTGAGCGCGCCAGGCCTGCTTCGAAACTCTCACAAAGATTGGGTTCAGCATGACCGGCGTGGCCAGCAAGGCACTAGGGACTGAAGCGCCTGATCAGTTTCAAACGGGAAAGCCCTATGCAACTCACTGTTTCCCGATGCACCTTTGGTTTCTCTTGGCTGCGGTTTCCCATATCCGACTGCAGTGTAACAAGTCAAGCCCAATCTGCTTATGCGACGCAGCGGAGATGCAGCAAACAGCACATTTGGCCCTTGGGGGAGACATTTTCCACGCATTTTGAGCTCGCAGGAGCTCTTGCTAAAGTTGTTGGAGGATGTGCACGAGGCGAGCGCTGCCACAGCGATGGAGGGACGCAGACCAATTGCGAGATGTGTGTGTGTGTGTGTGTGTGTGTGTGTGTGTGTGTGTGTTTTTTTGCAGTACGTCTTCTGAGGATACCTGTTCGGGTTTGCTTGAAGGAACAACAAGGGACATCTCCATTTATGGTTCCATTTTCCTTTTATGGGGAAGACTAGATAAAAGGAATTGGGGGACCCCCACCCCCCTCCCCCTACCATAACAAGCACCAAGCGTGCGCCACATTGGGGCTTTCCATTTTGCAAAGGATGTGGCTCTGCCTCTTGGCGTTGGAAGCAGAGGTATGACGGTCGTGAAGCACGTACTTCAGCACTCAGCACTTCTCACATCAGCAGACTTGCTCCTGGAAGTTGACCCCAGATTGTGACAAGAATCCCGGTGGCTTTGGTTTTCAGGACTCCCAAAGATCGGGCCCCCGAATAGATATTCAAGCGTTTTTGTCATTTGGCCGTGGGACAACACCAATGGTACCATTTTGGGGTAGGTGCACCACCCATTTTAGTCTATTTTAGTGGGGATTGGGATGTTCACTGGGGGCTAACCGGGGTTTTGACAACCACAGCCATTTTGCATTTGCAACAAGACAAAGTCGAATTGCTGCGCAGTGGATTCGCGTAGGTCTATGACGTGCTGCTGTCCTGTGTGGAGACCTACGAATGGGCCTGGCACATAGAAAATTCCTGCAAGCTCGTGCGCTAGTCAGCGACCGGTCTATCCGTCGAAGGTGAATATCATGTTTTCGCCGAACCGGAACAATGAGATTCTGAGATTTCGAATGCATGTGAACTTTACTTGCGACTGTAGGTCTAGGAACTTGAAGCTTGGTTTCTTGGGTTGAGGTATGGCTTGTCAAAGGTGCCCTTTAAGCGGCGCAACCCCGGACCCAACAAAATCAGCCTCAGAGAGAGACAGAGACCATGGGGCGGCCCATTCAGAGACGGCCAGACTTGGACAGAAGCCATGTTGTTGTGACTCGTTCACAGGACTCTGTGGGCGAAACCGGCGATGGTTATTTTGCAGGGATTTCAGGTCTGTCACAAACCCGACGAAAGTTTCGCTCGGGACTCCCTAGATTTCGAATGTAGTGCTCCTCTTTGAGGTGTTTGGGTGTGGTTTGCCTTTTGGGTTTGCTTTTCTTTCAACAGGGAATCCCTTTTTTGGACGGGGGTTGCCGGTGACCGAAAATTTGAAGCTAGGTGCAGCCGGGTGCCACTGGGCTCTTGCGGCTGTGGATGCTGCAGGCTGGACAAGCTGGACTCAAAGACAGCTGGCGTGTTGGATTTGACATGGGAGATCGGTGCGAGAGATGCAGAGTCCCTGAGAAATGGAATGACCCCAAAATAAGCCATCCAACGGGTGGCTTGCTTTAAGGGAATCCCCCGAACGGTTCATTCACAATTGGGTCATTCCCAACTCGCAGTCTTTACTTGCTGGTTCTCAGCAGGGAATGAGAGATGGCATGACTTCCTTTATTCGGGTTTGGGTTCATTCCCACATTCTCGACCTACCAAGTTGAGTCCTTCCACTTCTGCGAGTGCGGCAACGCAGCTGATTTGAAGCATCAGACCATCACCTGCCTGGCGCGGAACGGCTCGTTTTGGCGGGGAACCCGTCCGGAAAAGCCACACGAGTCACGATCAACACCTGGCATTCAAGGTCTACCCAACACCAAGGACATGATATATATATATATACACATACTTAGTGTTTTAACATGTAAGAGCGGTTTCCCCACCCTGGACTGTTTTGTAGCCGACCTTTGGCTCAAAGAAGGGCGGCTCCGTCAGTTTCAGGCGCAGGCCGGGAGAGCGAATGGACGCCACGTGCGGGGATGTGGGGTCGTCCCGTATGGGTTCGATCAGAGGCTATTGGGTTCCCCGCCCCAAGAAAGGCGCACGTACGGTTGACCCAAGGGCCTCTTGGTGTGAGGAACTTTTGGCATACACGCACTCCGGGAGCCTATGGCTAGTCGAGGGGGCTCACTCATTTTCCTACCAGGGAACAGCAGCCGGGGCTGCAGGAATTCCCTGCGATTCACCTGAGCCAGGATCACTCTTTACACGGCTCTGGGCTTGGACCATCTCGGGGTTTTGACCTCGACTCACCTCGCACGTCCGAAGGTTCTCGGTCCACAGCCCGTGACGCATCTTGCAAACCACGTCTCGCGAAGGGTCGGACTCTCTCCGGCGCACAGCTAGTTGCTTGCCAGGTCGCTCCGTCTGAAGACGGCAAAGGGTTCCTCCAAACTTGGGCCTCTTCCTTGTCCACTCACCAACCCTACCGTGTGACTATATTCGGCTCACGGAGTGGATCCAACACGATCTACGCTGTCGCCACGGCTCGGCCACTCCTGCTGGGCCACTGGTTCGTTCAGGGGTCTTTGGCCGCATGGCACGGCGACGCTTTGCCTCAATCGCGGAGCATCGCCGGGTCGTGAACAACCGACACGCACGCGCAACCCACGGCGTGCTTTTTGATCCCTCTGCCGCATCATTTCAGCTTCCCTTTGGCAGGTACTGTAGCATACATTTCTCGGAAGGCGAACAGGAGGCCGCCTCCGGACTCAAGATTCGTAACGACGCCCTCCATCAGCTTTCTTTGTCGGAGGTCCTTTTGGTCTTCCTATTTCCTTCCCTGTGCACAATGTTTGGAGTCTTTGGGGGTGAATCATGGGGCCTGGAGGCGTTTCACCCACCCACAGATTGCACAGCGGTCACAGCGGTGCCATTCCCCTTTTTTGGCCGAGGAGGCCATGGCGTCGCGCGTGGTGATTCTCGAGTGACCCCTTCGGGGAAAAGGGGAAACGGGGGTCCTGACGTCCTGACGCTGGGGCTCTAGGCTGCTCGGTTTGACAGTTCTTCAACACCCATTTGGGTGTGGGTCAAAATTAAACAGGAGGGGTTGCGCAGGTTTTGGTCCATGTTTCCACTTACCAGGACTCCATTTTGGGGTCGGTTTTTTGAGCCACAGCCATTTGGCTATTGGTCAAAACCAATGGGATCCCATTTTGGGGTAGGTGCACCACCCATTTTTAGAACCTATTTCAGTGGGGATTGGGATGTTCACTGGGATTTTGACCCATGGCCATTGTGCGCATTTAGTGCGAAAAAAAGCCAAACCTTTAACTAAGAATGGCTGCCTTTTCGAGCTTTTAGCGAGAGATGGTTCAACCTTCAACTAAGAGTGACGTACCCACTTGTTTCGTGTTCTTTTTGGGCTCCTGCCAAAAGCCGGAACACCCTTGGTTATATTTTTTTTCTGAATCTGACTTATAATTCAAGGTGGAACCCCAACAAAACCTCCTGTGGCTTCGATTCGGGCTTCTCTTCCAGTTTTTCTTAGGCGTTCTTAGGGAAGTAGAGGAACCCGTAGACACATGTTATTCGTTGGCAATATGTTTCCTTTCAGGAACCTTTTTGAGCCAACCCTGATCAGAGTGTGGGCATATTCAAGGAGATCCCACTATTTCTCCGAAGGACTCGCTCAATGCGGGCATTGTCTTTGGGAGCGTTGTGGGCCCAAAAGGCTACGATTTTGGAATTGGGCGCTCCCTCAAAGAATCTTGACAAACATTTTCTGACGTCCAGCCAATTGCATTCATGCCCAGCTCGCAGTCTTTACTTGCTGGTTCGCAGGGAATGAGACAGGGAATGACCCCGAACTACACCTCCCCGCTTTGATTTCCGTTAAGGGAGCCCCCAAGCCGGTGCATTCCCAACACCCCGGACTCGTTGTCATTCCCTACATATCGCCCTGGCTAGAAGGGGTAGACTAAGTCCAGGCCCAAAAAGGGCACCCACGTGTTGAACCACATAGTTTTCAAGCAAACAGTATGTTGAAACACGACCTATACTATATACGTACATGATGTATGTGTATATATCTACATATACGTATAGATTTGTATATACTTTCCCTCATCAGGGCTCCTTAAAAGATACATTTTGCCCATTTGAAACAGGGCTTTTTCCACCAACATAAAGGGAAACCGCCATTTACAAGGCAATGTTCAGGTGTATGTAAGGATCCCTGCCCATGTTGTTGTTTTTGATTCGCCTTTTTGGTTCGCCTCGGAGCATTGAAGCCGCCGCAGGTACGCCGAGCTGGTGAAGGGCGCCGACCTGGGGAAGCCGCTGCTGGAGGTGGGCCGACCGATGCGTCCGCCTCGCTCGCCGGTTTCGGGCGGCGAACGGAGAGCGCCGGCCCATTTTTCGGGTGAAGTTGTTGCTGCTTAGGGGGAACTAAGAGGGCTTTAAGAACAGAAAAAGAGGAAAAGTATATACACATGTGTACGAATATGTATGTATGTATATATACACATCATATACGTAGATAGTATTGATCGTGTTTTAACATACTGTTTGCTTAAAAGCTATGTGAACAGCGAAACAAACCTATTCAGGGAAACATGGCCATGCCCTACATATTCAGAGTCTTGACCATGGTGTATATGGCCACAATATCAAAGGGTATGTATGTTGACTTCTCCTGGGCAGGAAGTCATTTTTGATTGCGATGGCAATGGGTTTAGACTTTCAGACAACCGATGTAGCCGATGTACAGGTTCCTGGCAAGGGCTACCATAACTAAATAACCAGGAGTTTGCCTGTTGGAAAACGGTATCGTTCTTGACCATGACTTGTTTGCTGCTTGTCTTGCGCTATTTTGAGGGTACTCAATTTGGGTTTGGTTTCAAAGTGGCCAGTAGAGCCGAAACCAATCTGGAACCCCCCTTTGACGGAACACCCATATCAGTGTGTCTTGTTTTGGGAGTACCCATCCATTTTTGGGGTGGGTTTTAAAGGCCAAAAAGGAACACCACCCATTTTGTAGGTTCCCAGGTAAGACAACCCCCATCACGTCACACGTCCCTTGTGATTTATGGCTTGCTGGTGCTCATTCGGGAATGACCGTTCCGGGTGTTGGGAGTGAACTGGTTTTGGGGTTGCGCTAAAAGGAAACCAAATTGTGGATGGTTTATTTCGGGGTCATTCCCTGCCTCATTCCCTGCCTATCGCACCAGCAAGATAAAAGGTCTATCCACTTCAAACTCATATCCGACTCGAAGGACATGGCAGAGAAGCACATACCCATTTGTCACATCATTCTTTCGGGCTTCACGGGGTTTAAGTGGTGTTGACCTTCAGTTTCGCTTTAAAACCCACCATTTGGGGGGTCTCAAAAACCAGGCAGACCCACCTGTCGCCGTTTTTCTTTTGGGATTCATAGGGTTGCGGGTTCGATCGCGCTGGAGGCCTGGGGTCCCGGCAGTCTGGGAGTGGTGGCGGTGCGGGGTGTGCCTGGCTGGCAGGAGGGGTGCCTGGCTTCCGCTGGTCCAGGGGGGGGGGGGGGGCAGAAACCCGCGTTTTGTTTGGGTTGTTTTTTCCGGGTTTTTGGTGGACGTGGTTGTGGACAGCAGGATTTGTTCTATTTTTTTGCGTGACTTTTCAGTTGGCGGCATGGTTGAATCAACCATTTGAATTAAGTTTCGGCGTGGGCATGCTGCCTCTGGTTTTATGCCAGGGGCCTTTGGCGCGCAAAAAGCATGGCGCGTGAGCAGCATTGGCACCGCAAAAGGCCAAAGACCAAGCAAGGCAGAAGGTGTCGTTTCCTCGACTCAGAAAGCATTATGGGACATATCATGCTGTGGTGTGGGTACCCAAGACCTGCCCACTGCCATTTAGCGTTCCAAGGAAACGTGGGGATGCATGGCTTGTCGCTGCCAGCTCTGCCTCAAACAACAGGCGAAGTCACAAATGAGAATTACATGAACAGCGAGAATCCATGGTGTTGAAGGGAAACATACCGATCGCGGCAGATCCTTTGATTCATTTGAAGGACTCTCTCTCTCTCCCTCTTTTTCTCTCAAACGCCCCGGTTTCGCTGGGTGCAAAGGGTCGGACGGGGCGAAGACTGCTGCTTTGGCAAGTGGCATTTCGCTTGGCAGACACTCCTTCCACAGCAAGCAGCACGTTTTTTCTCTCCTTTTTTTCTTTTTCTTTTTTTTTTCCGCTGCATTGCAGGAGCTCTACCCTTCAGTGCTCAAGTGAGCTTCTCAGTGCTTGAGAGAAGATTTTGAGAGAATCCTCGGGTAAACATTAGGTTTGCAGAAGCTGAGATTTGGCCAGACCCTGCCTCCACTTCGCAGCCGGGAAGGTATCCGGACTCGCCGAGCAAAGGGAAGCCAAAAGGGCAGCCCTCAGTTTCGAAGGGATCAAAGATGCTAAAGGCTGCCGATGTGTTTTTTCTTTTTACAAAACCCATGTGAAGATTTGCGCAGAGTCACAATCAACTCCTGACTACAGGAATCAAAAAGGGCGGCCACACCTATTTCTGGTTGCATTCATTTTGGCCGGCTTCGCGCGCGTCAGCTTTTCCGAGTTTCTCAAACTGAGTGCTGCAAACCGAGGGAGTTTCACTTTCGGGGCTTTTGCAATGCTGGGAGTGAAAAGTTGGCTGAGGATGTCGCACAGCTTGGCCCACTTGCCTGCAGAGAGTCTGAAAGCTCTAGAAGACGAGGCGGTTTGCACAGTGCTGGGTTCAACGAGCGTCTCGTCTGTCACATGTCGGAACGCCCCAAACTCCTTGTTTTATCCGGTTTGCAGCAAAAGTGGGCTTTTCCCAAAAGTACACCCGAAGTACATCCTTCTTGGGCTTGTTGCAAGGTTCCTTTGGTCAGAGGCGCTTTGTTTCACTCAGCGGAGAGGCCTCCATGTACAACGCGGGTTGGCCTGCGACTCAGCGGGATGGATTGTGTCTCTGGCGGCCGCTTCACGTCGACGTTTAAGGCCAGCTTTCTGGTGTCTGTTTGTTTGGCCTGGTTGGTTTATAATATGTCCCTTCGCGGGACAGCAGTAGGAAGCTTCCACGTGAAGCTGCGTGCAATGAGCAGAGATGGGTGTGGGGTCGATTTGTTCTCTTGGGTTTTACTCGCGCAGCCCGTGTAGCAATGGAAACAGTTCAGGAGCTGTACTGATGCCAATCAAGCTTGCTCTGCTGATGCTTCTCTTTTTTTCCCTTTGTTTGCATTCTTTCCCTTGCGGTCCCCACAGGACTTGAGTCGACCGCGTTCGCTCATTTTCTCTTCCCTAGCTGTCAGTGCATGTAGTTCTCCAGATAGCTTTATCTTTTGGGGTTCTGGGGTTCGTGCTTCTAAAGAGCGGGGTTTGTTCTGCGAAGTCGGAGGTGTGTGCTGGATGCTGATTCCCAACCAGGTTCCTCTTGTGTGCACTGCCCACTTGGGATGTGGACTGTGGTCCATCTTCGGGGTAAATCGGGGGTCAGCTGGCTCGCTTTCGAGCAAATGAGGGGATTCGGCTTTGCTCACAGAACGATCAATTCAAACTAGACGACGACACGGATTGCTGCTGCTGACCTGCTCATTCTCGAGCGAATCCATGTACTTTGCGACTCGTGTTGCACTGTGACCCAACTGAACTTCCCGCGGCTGCTCCATGGCAATCATTGAATATAACCAAGCTTGCCGCGGCCGGGACCACCACTTACTACCCTGACATCCTCGCACGCTCCCACGCTCAATCTCTCCGCCAATGAACATGTCCATGCACCGGACAAAACGGGGCCCGGTGTTTTGCTTGGTTTCCCCGCCGAAACCCCCAAAAAACAGACCCCCCAGCCAGGTATCCTCACAAAACACTGTTTTTCCCCATTGGATCTCTCCCTGTCACCCAACCCTCGCGCCGCAACCGGGCGACCTCTGACTGGCCTCATTGTTGTACCATGATCAAAGTCACTCCCGTTCAGTGGTGGGTTAAAGGGAAACCGATTCCTTTTTCTGACTCTGATAACCAGAAACCGCAGTCTGACCGTTGCTGGTATCCTCAAAAAACACAAGTTTTTCCCTGTCACCCAACCCTCGCTCCTCAAAAAGAACCGCAACCCGGCGACCCCTGACCGCTGGAGAAAGTCCGACCTCCGAGGTCCCACGGCAAGGAGAAGCTGGGCGACAAGCCGGACTTGGCCAAGGGCTCGCCGGCGCCCCAGCCGCCGAAGGCCGCGCGAGGCTTTGGTGCGCGGAACTCTGGGCCCCTCCAATTGGGGCAGGGGGGGGGGGGGCATTTTCCACAAATCGACAACAAATCTGGGGGCGTTTGGGTTTGGGCGCCTTTTTGTGGAGGTCTGAAGGGTTAAGGTTTCAAAATAAGGGAAGGGGAAACCATTTTGTTTGGGTCCCTATTTCGATGTCACCCACTTTGTCCAGACTTTCGGCAACCGAGACCAGGTTTTACTTCAACCCGTTATCCGACGCACCCGGCACTGAGGTGGGCCGTTGGGCGAGTAGTTCGCGCGTTGCTTCCGCTTTGCTTAAACTATGCCCATGGCCTGGAATGGGACTGGAGGGTGAGGTGAACCCTGGAACTCCGTGGCTGGCAGCCCGTGTTGGATAAAACAATGCCACACCAGCAGCAGCAACAGCACAGGACGCAACACACACGGTTTTTGCTGGGTTTCCGGGCTCGCAGGAGGACCGGGTGAAGTTCCCGTGGGCCCTGCCGAAGAACCGCTGGCCCAAGGACGGCACCTATCGGAGAGATTGTGTCTGAGAAGCTTCTGCGGTAGCACTGGGCCTCAAAAGCGATGGAAGGCATTTCTCGGGGGTTCTCAGACTTAGTTTTTTTTTTTGGGGGGGTGGTTTCCAGCCACCATTGATTGGGAGAATTTGACGATGTCACTTTAATCGAAGTAGCATGACCAAGGTGGAATTTGATAATGGAGGGCCTGTGCCGTTGGTTGTGTTCTTCTCATGCGCCTGATTCACAGCTCCTCTGCGGCCTGTGTTCATTCCCTGTTGGACTTGACCCTCAACACTATTCGCCTTAACACTGGAACACTGGTCCAACAGTGGGTCCCAGCGAGCTCGTGACCGGCGTCCTCTTTTTTCCGATTTCCACGGCAGGCGCAGGCCCCCTCACAAAAACCCCCGCCGGTTTTCGGCAGGAGATCCCGGAGCTGGAGAAGCATTGCAAGGCGCTGGGCAAGGCCATGCAGGAGGCCAGGCTGGTTGGGGCATGGATCCTTTGGCCATTAGTCCGTGGCGGTGATGTCTTGAAAAGGGTGACAGCCGGAGATGTGCTCAGGGCATTGGTTAAGTTGAGGGCAGGGAATTGATCCTTTGTGCCGGCAGTGGGACAAGTTGAGGGAAATCCTTTGGCACCAGGTTTTGAAAGAGAGGCGGAGATCCCACGCGGCGAAGGCGAAGGATTTCTCGCCGAGGTCATCAGCCACCTGGGAGACCAGGTGGACCGGGTCATGGCAGCCAAGGGGAAGACCTACACGGCGGAGCTGGGCAAAACCCTCCGCCGCAGCCTTAGCATATGTCAGCCATGGTGTCTCTAAACAGGGGGCGCCCTACCCCCCCCCCTCCACCTCCCCAAAACAAAGAGGAGTCCTTCAAGCAAGAGATGCCTGGATGTGGCAAAGACCAGCACGTGTTGTCTTCGGATGGATGGCAGGGTAGCAATGAAGTTAGCGTGTGGAGCAACGTGGTTGGTTGCATAAGTTAAGTCTAGCTGTGTATTTCTGATGTTCACTGGGTGCAACCAATTCAGATTCATAAGGCGCAACTGACAAGTGCAAGGGCCGGCTGCTGTATTATTTCCCTCCGAAGGCGCGGACTTGCGGCGTGTCTGATGGCAAGCAAAAGCGATGCACGAATCTCTCGTAGGCGAGCGCTAGCAATGGCGCTGCCTCGGAAGTGCCCGAGGACCTTGAACGATGCTTTGCCACGCTGCAAGTGAGCCACGGGATTGAGGTCGTTGTCCCTGGCACATTTTCGCTAGCCTTGAACTTTTATGGGACATCTTCAGGTTGCATGCATCTCCATGCAATGATGTCCACCAAACGGTCCAACCATTTTAACAATTCCTACCCTCCCACCAACTAACATGGAAGTGCACAGACCCATGTAGAAAGACGACTTTCCTTTTGGAAAGGGGGGGTTGTGCACTTCCACGTTAGTTGGGAGGGTACCAATTCGACCGTCGAATAGCCTCAGCGTCAGGATGGCTGGATCGGTTGGTCGGGTGCCGAGCCTTCGTGCCTTTTGGTCGTGCTGAGGAAATGGGTACCCAAAGAACTGGGGTTCCTTTTGGGGTTTGAAAGGGACACCAAAGAACAACCGCCCTTTTTTGATTTGTTTTCCAACCTTTGCAGAGAAGGAGAGGTGAGTATCAGACTCATTCACCTGGACCAACTGGGTGCTTGCTCTCAACGCTATGTTTGAACAATTTATCTCTTGGCTTCGGCCCCGGTTTGTCTTCCTTGCTCGCCATCAATTTTGCCTTGCCAATGAATCCGATAAAAAGCGCACAGTTCTGGTAGGTATGAGATCTCCACCTTCGTTCAATTCGGTTCAGGAACCTTGACTTGATTCGCGCTCGAATCTCTTCGCTTGCTCTTGCTCATGCCGTCCTGGTTCATGACACCGTTGTGCACGCAGCAGACCAGTTCCTAGAACTTTGTTTTGTGCATAGGGCCCCCTCTCAATAGCAGAGCAGTGGGGCATGCTCAGTTGACCAAAGGTTTACCCAAAAAGTTCGTTACTCAGTTCTCCAAGCAGAGAGGATTCTCGACCTTTGGAGTTATCCAGCTTGCACGTTCTGGCATGAGCTTCGGCTTCGATCGCAGCATTTGGCGCTTCTCCCGAGTGAATTATCTTTTTGAGGGGTTCTGGATCCAGATGGGTGGCACACCTCCTTTGAAGCGCCATTGTTTGCAAGGGGTACTTGCGCCAATTTTGGGTTGCCACTTGACTCAGTGTGTTTGGTGGGCTGAAAGGCACAATGACTCGGGCTTCATGACGGGCCTGACTCCGGATATGTATGCAGCTTGGAGGCATTGGATCAGAGATGTAGAACTCCCTTTGGTTGGATTTAAGGGGAAGCCACAAGCAAAACGCTCGTTGCCATTTGGAGTGTGAACTCATATTTGTCACTCTCCCCAATGAACATGTCCTCCTGACTCAGGTAGATGATGTTGATGTGGCCCGCTCAGCTGCGTCGATGTAGATCAGTAGAGCCAATAGGACCCTCCCCCACAACAGTCGCACCTCCAAGAAGGTTCCTTCCAACCCTTTTTGTGTCCCGACCCGTGTTTTTTTTGTTGGGTGGGGGGTGGGGGGGTGGTTTTCCTAATCCCCCGAGGGCTCGATCATTGAGAACCCTGACCCGGAGAGTGCCGGGCTGTGGATCGTGGATCGCGACAGCAGCGCCTGGAGCTCAGCGAGAGAGGCTTTGCGAGAGCCTTGTTTCTTCCATTTGCTGATTTTTTTTTTTTTTTCCCCTGTTGGTGTTAAAGGGAGTCTATCACTGCTGGAAATATGTATATATATATATATTACTTATTTTTTTCCAGGGGACTCAAGCAAATGGAAGTTTTGGGGGAAGAGAAAGCGGAGCTCACCGATTCGGGGACCCGTGGAATCGTGATTGGCCCAGATGTTTTGAAAGTTGAACACTGTTGAAGCTGCGTTCGTTCAAATCAATCTGGGTATGGGTCCAAATTACACCAGGAATTGGACCGCAGGTTTTTGCATCTACCAGGGCAAGCCATGTTGATACAAGTATTTGACCAGCCATTCTTGTATTACGCAGCTTCCCCAGAACACCCAGATGCGTCCTTCTGATATTTTTCAGGCTGTCCGCGTGCAGATCCCTGCGGATTGCATGGCCGTGCAAGTGGGCGAGTGCACGCAGGCTGGGGGTTTTCATTTGTGCCCGAAATGGGTGGGTTCTGGTTTGCCCAACGTAGCAAAGGTAACCCCCCCCCCCTCCCGCCCCCCCGAACGAAGAGACCCCCCAACGAAAATGGCCTTCCAAAAGGTTTGCCAGAACCACTTGGCAGCAAGGGTGCCCTCAAAAGACCACCCCCCTTCCCCTCCCCCTCCCCTCTTCCCCCCCTCCACCAACCCCTTCTTGGTGACGGGGCCAGAAGCCGCGAGGTGGTGACCGGCGGCGAGTTCGTTGCGACCCCGCACTGCGTCCGCGGTTGCCGGCCGACGCATACTGGTGGGCGCCAGGCTGGAAGTTGAAGCGAGAGGTGAGCGAAGGTATCCCCCTGAAGAAATCGGGGAGTTTGGGGACGTGGGGGGGGTTGGGAGGTGGGGGGTTGGGGGATTGGGGAGTTGGGGGCCCCTTTTATGGTGCGCTTCTTGGGGGTACAGGGAAACCCGCCACCTTGCAATTGAGGGTGGAGCAGGCCTAGGCGAGGTTGGAGTCAATTTCGCAGGTGGCCAGAGTTTCCTGCCCATGCTTCGTGGACACCCACCCCACCTTCGAACTCAGGACGGTTGACCCGTCGCAATTGTGGGTGGCAGTTTCTGTTTAGGGTGAAACCGGTGGAAAGACGGGCCTTTGCGGATCCAGGGACCGGCAGAATGGCGGAAAGATTCAACACTTGGTCCTCTTCTATGTGCTTAAGAACATCTGTTTTTTCCTTTGTCAGTTTCAAAGGGAATCTATCACCACCATTTTTTTTTGAATGTTCGTTCCAGGTGACTTGAGCAAATGGAGGCCCCTACGTCGGGTGGTTGGTTGCACCTGTTCAGGATTCCCGAGGGCGTGTCTCGGGAAGAGATGCTCGCGCGAGGAGCCGGGGAGTTTTCAGACAGGAATGCGTCAGAACTAGGGAATTGCCATCTTGACAAATGGCAAGGGTTTCATCTCGGCTCTATCTTGGCTCAGTGAATGAGCCTCAGCTTGTGCTTGGTGGGTTGCCCAGTTCCAACCATGGTAGTAAAACCAGAATGCCAAGGATGGCCTCGACCACCTCCCAAATCCAGACCCTATAAGCTCAGATGATATCCCCAACAGCATGCGGTGCTCTTTTTAATGCTCGCACCCCCGCAGCCCTCGCAGAACCTCGTGGAACCCTGATGGAACCCTGGTGGCACCCTGGTGGAAGCCTGTTGGAAGCCTGGTGGAACCTTACCTCAGGGCTCCCCAGGACCACCCCGGAGCCTGTCTGGGCGGAGGCCGCAAAGCTTTCAGCTGTTGGGGAATAAAACCACCACCGACCTGCCATCAACCACACCCCCCACCCTACCCCCCCCACCCCCACCCCCGGTTTTCCACGCAAAAACAAACAAACAAAAAAGCAAAGATGCGTGGACTCCTTTGCTTCGGAGGCGTCTCCTCGAAGGTCCCCCCGCTGGCTGACCGCTGGCAGCTCCGCGGCCCAATGGGCGTTGCCGGGAGAAACAATCCCCAAAGTGGATTGATCTTGTTTTGCAGACTGATAGGTTCCCCGAGTGGTTCCCCAACTGGTTCCCAACACTTGCTTGGTCGGCAGCCGACGGAACCATGAGTTCCACGAAACTAGGGCCATATGTGGGAGCCAAGCATGCGTGACTTCCTTTACATAACCCTTAAAGAAGGTACCCTAGAGCAAATTCGCATACTCATGGTTGTCTCTTTTTTTGGCGGTTCCTCCTGTGTTGCCGGTTTTCCTTTTGGTTTCCCTTTTTTTAGCCACAAAAAAGGCGGGTAACCCCCCAAAAAAGGACAGGCCTAAAAGTAGTTGCGTCGCGTTTTGCGGGGCCCACTCAACGCACGGCACCCAAAACCCCAAGGCCTGGCCAGAACTTCGGGGACTTCTTGGGGGTGACCTTCCGGAGATACTACGCCCGGGCCTCAGGGCTGGAGGAAGGAGGATCTGCTCCGTTTTTGCCATTGCGAGCTTTGGGTATCTTGCCGGGTGGATTTTTCCATACTTGTGCAGAACCTGGGTATCTGGTCTAAGGGTGGATGTGTTCCAGACCCATGAAGCTTCATACCTCTGGTAAGGGGGTATAATCTAAGGGAAGTACATAGCCCTTGTTCATACCGGTTCCTTGCTTCCCTGGTTTCCATACAAGAGGGGGTATGTTCCCTTCGGGTTCATTTGCCCAATCATGTCAAAGGGGTATGTACAGGCCCCGGATATAACGAGCTCACCATGATAAAGGTCCTTTACTTGGGGATACCTTAAATCAGCTTTTGGCATTCTAGTAAAAACAAATGCAGGTCTTTTTCGTTTCTTGTGTCGTTTCCAAACTTGAAGGTTCACTCAATTACGCGAATTAATCAAACGTATCATTTTTTGGTTGGGGAAAGAGTTGACAAACACAAACACAAACAACTTGCTGGTGCTCAGTGGGGAATGACCCAGGGTGTCGGGAATGAACCGGAAGGGGTTTCCCGGAAAGGAAACCATAGGGTATGGTTTATCGGGGTCATTCCAGCTCATTCTCTGCTGAGAACCAGCAAGACAAAGGGTCCAACCACTCCAAGTCATACCGTATTTCAGATGATGGTGAGTGATTGCATTTCCATCTGAGGACTGGGCCATCAGCAAGTCTGAGCAGCCGGACAAGAAGCAGCGCACGGCATGAGCTTGGAGCTGGTTAGGAAGACATCTCTTCAACTCCGCCGAGTAGCTGAGGCGCGTGAAGCGTGCGCCGGCTGAGTGCCCAAGGCATCGCTGCGCTTCGTCGAGCCAACGAGTGGCTCGTTCTTGATCTCCCGAAGCGGTTCAAAGGGGTTGCATGGGAACCTTTGGATTGGAGCTGGCATGGGTTTCCCTGTTTGCTTTGTTCCACAGGGAGATCAAGGGAATCAATTCCTTGCCTGGCCTTTGTAGTTCAGGCAGCTGGCCAAGCGGAAAGCGGCGAATTGGCGCAGTCTACTTGAGATTGCGCCATCGTCTCAATGCCTTCAGAAGGCATTTGGCGATGTGTCAAACTGGGCATTTGACCCCTTTTTGGTTCCAGAAGGAACATAACCCATATGGGTGTGGGTCAAACATAGGGCAACCCCAAAATGGAACCCTGAAGCCTGCGGTCCAATTCCTGGTAGTTTCATTTTGACCCATACCCATATGAAGCCAACGTGACCATTTTTCTGAGAGGGGTCCAACGAGCCCGACTTGACACCTTTGCCATTTTGCTCGGAAAAGGGCGCGTGTGGCCTGGCTTCAGAGGGTTACACCGGCGGTTGTGTAAAGTTCTGGAGAGACTGCTCGGATTCCTCGTGTCTTTCGTCTGTTCGACGGAGGGGATGCTTTTCAGGCCATGGACACCAGGCATGAAGGGACCTGCCCGATTTTTCCATTCTCGGAGGTTCTCTTCGCAGTCTTTGGCAACAACATGACAGGCGCGCGTTGGCAGAGTGTCAGTGTCTCTTTGAGGGTGCCTCTTTTGGGACTTTCAAGGAAAAGGGACAGCATGCAGGTTTGATGCTGATGGAGCTGACCGACAACGACGTCTCAGGCACCTGCACTTGAGATGCAAAGACCTTCCCGACTCGCTTGTCCCAGGGGTGAAGAGTTGCTTTGCAACTGAATGTCATGTACAATCACATCCCGGAACCCACTTTTGGGTTTTGGTTGGAAACGGCGTCCAGGGATCCCAAGACGTGGTCTGTTGTTTCTTTTGACGGTTCTCTTTCCATGCGGGTTTATTTTGTTACAAGGAAACCGAAAGAAACAACAACACACACACACACACACACCTCTTTTTTGGTGTGTGTGTGTGTGTGTGTGTGTGTGTGTGTGTGTGTGTGTGTGTGTGTGTGTGTGTGTGTGTGTGTGTGTGTGTGTGTGTGTGTGTGTGTGTGTGTGTGTGTGTGTGTGTGTGTGTGTGTGTGTGTGTGTTTTTTTGCGCCCCCCCCCCCCCCTCCCCCGGATTGTAAGCCTTGAGACGTCCCAAATGGAGAGGTTCTCGTCCGGGCGCTTGGACTCGAAGCGAGGTGCCGTGAGCCTCATCTCCTTCCTGGTCCGCTGCGAGCAGGCAGAGTTTGGTCAGCGAGGGTTTTTCAAAGGAGCTGGCTCCACTCAGGTTTCCCAGCCCCCAATGCGTGGGTCGTTTTTTTGGGGGGAACCTCCAAAATGGATTTCGGTGTTCCTTTTGGTGTCCCTTTACTAACCCGAACAGGGGGTCAAGTCTAAAAACGACAAACCCCATATCCCCGGGGACGCGCCACCCTCGTGGGGTACGATCCCAACCCCTCAGTCGACTCCTCGAAGGAATAGCCGGCGGTAGGCTTCCCGTTTTGCAATAGATTCAATAGACAGGCAAACGACAGGTTGCAGATCTGTTTTCAGCGCGAAGAAAGGCCTCTTTTGCGGATCCTCACAAAAAAAGACAGAACAAGTACAAAAACACCAAGCACAAAACAACCCATGGTGCTTCGTTTTTGTTTGTTTTTCATTTCCTGGTCTTTTCGTCCATCTCCTTTTTGTTGCTCCAGCCCCCGTCCTCGGATCGCGCCAAAAAATCGCCCGCGCTGGGAGCGCAGGCGCCCTTCGAGATGCAGGCGGCGGCGGGGCAGTGCTTGGTGCAGCTCACCACCGCGGACTCCGTGTTCTTGGCCCGCGCCGAAGGCGCGCGGGACAGGGGGGGGAGGGAACTTGGGCCTGTGGGCTTGGGGGGGGGGGGGGCTTGGGGGGAGCAAAGGTGGGCTTTGGGCTGGGTTTGGGCTGGGTTTGGGGTGGGTTTGGGGTTTTCATTGTGCCTCACGTTGCCGCTTTGGACGTTGTTTCTAGAGTTTGGAGAAGTGTTCTTCCGAAACCCATTTCACGCTTTTCACTCGGCTGAGTTCTGTACAATGCTTTCAGAGAGGTGTGTCTGTGTGATGGTGCTTGCTTCCTTTTGGGTTGTTTTGAGATACCCTTCAAGAGGTCGGCCTTTAGAATCCATTTGGTCCGAGGTGCGGTGGATATCTTTTCCTTGCTGGTGCGATAGATAGGAAATGACCCAGGGAGTTGGGAATGAAATTCCCTCGTTCCTTGCTGAGCACCAGCAAGTCTTTTTGTTTGAGAAGGCAAGAAATGTTGACCCCGGATTAGTAACTGGTAAATATTAATATGTGGGTGTTTCTCCCTGGTCTTTAGTGGTGATTCATCACTGTTGGAGGGAAACACCTCAGACTTTTGGGGCGATCGAATTCGGATCGCTAGGCCATGAGGACTGGCAGAATGAGCAGATTACGAAGCTCACGGGCATGCTGAACCGCGTGGCTCTTACGTCGAGGTTACTGCAAGGGCACGGTCTGATTGGTGCGAGAGATGCAGGGCCCCTGACAAAATGGCGATTTTTACTCGATGTAAACCATCCAAGAGGTGGGGGGTCCTTTAAGGGGATCCTCAAACGGTTCATTCCCAAACAATCCAAGTGGTGGTTTCCTGTATTCGGGAATCCCCAAACGGTTCATTCATTCGGGAATCCCCAAGCGGTTCATTCCCAACCGCGTTGATTCGCACTGGGGTTCCCAGCAAGACGCAGGGGCGAATATGGCTGCGCCTTGGAAAGCTGTCGAACCCAGGCCATGTCAACGGGCTGATCAAGGCCAGCGAAAGGGAGAAGGGCCAGGGCCAGTCATGCCGCGGGAAGGGCCTTGCACTCTGCACCGTTGTGGAATTGCAGCCTGCTGCATGGCCGTGCGGCCATGCGGCCATGACTAGCTGCTTGGGACTCCCGGATGTGTGCAGGGCGTCATCCAGTTCGACATCGTGGAAGCCTTTGGACGCTGCATTTGCCAACACCAGATGAGCCGCTCGGACGCTGGTGAGAGCGCTCGCGCTTGTCAAGTGGCTGTGAGCGTTCTTTCAACCCACCCATTAGTAGCCTCAGTCAGAACTCAGGCACGTAGTCTGCTGCGCACGGTGGAAAAGGCCCACCTGGGATTCGTAAAGGGCCCCTAACAAAGAAAGTACCCAGGTTAATATCTTGAGCATCGGGCGAAAGCCGTGCGACCGGGATGAGAAGAGTGGAGTTTCCACTCCATCCAGTTTGGGAGTGATGGCGGGTCGGTCCCGCAGAAACCAAGGGACTCACTCATTTTTCAATGTTCTCGTGGAAGTAATGTTGACCTAGTTTGGGAAGGCCATTCGCGGACGGACATCATCGTGAAGCACTTCCTGACCACGGCACGCGTCTCAGAGCGTCGTGGACAGAGAGTTGGGGTGGCAAACTGTTCAAAGAACCAGTTGCCGTTGGCCCCTTAGGGAAATTAGAGGCTTCTTCAACAATATAGAGTGACTCGCGAGTCCCGCTTGGACAGCAACTTGTTTGCTAGCTTGCGTGGCTCGTGGTTTTCCTGCCATGGTCCCAACCTAAGCCTCCAGGGTCGGGCAACATGTGTTACCATGCCCCTCCCTGTTGCACCAAAGCTGTATTTGTTTTTCTTTTTTTTTCAAATCTCGAATCGGGGTCCCAACCCTGTCGTGCTTTTTCTGGTTGCGTCGCCCAAACACGAGCGCGCGCAACCATGTTTTTTCCTAATGCGAAGTTGCTGAGATTCACAATTGCCTGCTGTACTGCTCGGAGAACCAGAAGAAGCTACGGCTGGGCGCCTGGGTTTCGCTTGGTCCATTTACAGGGAGGCCATGGCCACCCAATTTTCCCCATGTCCTTTTGGGAAGCATCGGATTTTGCATGGGGCTCACGTAGGAAACGCAGGATTTTTGTGGTCAGTTTGGGCGTGTTTGCCATTGGTGGTGTTGCAAGTGGCCGGTGACTTTGGTTTCAAGAGGAGCCGAAGGTTCCACTCCAGCGATTAAAGATGTGAGCCAGGATCAAGTTCCATACACAAACGCAGATGTCCGCGTTTCAACCCTTTACGATTTTGCGCGCACTCCTTCCCTCCCAAGAGGTCATGGAACCCAGAGGGTCCCTTGGGTTCCATGGCAATGACTCAGTGGGTTTGTGTGCGTGTGTGTTTATTGAGGCTCGGTACCCCTTTCACTCTGGCCTTTGTTAGGGCAGCCTAAGGACAACCACCAGCTTCCCGGTCGGACTTTTTTTTGTTGCCTCCTGGAGGCTGTTGCTGGACTGAATTTTCGTTCAGCGCCAGGCAACATTTGGCCACTCAGAGCACCATCGTCCAGGATATGCAGTGCTCAACTTGGTTACGCTGCTTTCATCTACCCTCCCACCAATTAATATGGAACCTGACGTTCGGGATCCGGTCCCTTTAAAAGGAACATGGTCTAAACCAGGACCCCCCCGGAACGTCAGGTTCCATCTTCGTTGGGAGGGTACGAGTGTCGAACACAGATCGTGACCATCGTTTTGGAGGATTCATTTGATCTTGCGACCGTTTCTCTGGGGAAGGCGCTCTTCGGGGCTATGCCTCAAAATGGATTCCAGAGCCAGAGCTGCACAGCGGGCTCCATGGGCCGCCGCTTTTTCAGTGCTTGGACCTCCGCAAGCTCAGAGGCCCCACTGAAATGGATGGCTCGTTCTTTTGTTGGACTCGGACCCCTCAGAGTTGTTAGTGTTTGGGTGTTTTTTCCTTCCCCCAAAGAAACACGGAAAGGGGGTATCCTGAAGTTTTCAGAGACGGCCAAATGGCAAGACTGCTTTTCGTAAGGACTTTTCATGGCTGCTGGTGGCGATTTCTTGGGGATGACTAGAGGTGTTTCGGAGAGCAGTGCCTAGCTGTCAGAACTCCTGCCTCCCAAATACAGATAGTTGCCAAATAACCATGGCAACACCCCGCCCCCCAAACCCCCCAGCACCTTCCTGCCTGTTTCGGAAAGCATGGGAGTAAGCCTTGAAGTCTTGCAGTTGGAGGCGTGTTCTTGGAAGATTAAAGCACCCCTCCCCCAAAAAAATATAGAATGAAATAAATAAATCAACAAATTCGAAACGAAGCATTTTCGAACGGTGGGAGTACTGTTCCTCCGCCAGGACATCATGATCCCGTATGTGCACAACATCCTTCCAGCCCTTATGGACAATCCGGCAGCGCGAAGCTCAAAAAGGAGAGGGGCAATCAAAGGGACGCGGGATGTGATTGAAAACAACGGTGCACACTAGGAAGTGACAGAGATGTCTAACTTGGTTGGTTCAGACGTTCCATCATCAAGCACAAGGGGTCGCTTGAGCAACAGTTGGCAGCGACTTCGATATGGGGCATCGTCTCCATGAGAACCATGACCATGTGCCGAAACAAGCGCGGAGTTGTGCCACACAGATCCGTTGAGCAGATCTCGCCTGTGCTGAGTGTGGCCCTTCGATCATCGAGTGGCAGAATCTGAAGGTCGGGCTTGGCACGGGAGCCGACGGGCAGTTTGGGCCCAGCGGTGGAATCTCTTTTTAGCGCGGGGGGGGGGGGAAGGGGGGGCAAACCCCATGACTGCGAATAGGCTTTGCTCCAACATGGAGGCGGTATCGATGACCTAACAACCCTTGACTTTTTTGACAGAAGGAGTGACATAGTGAATTTCCCGAAGTGGCAGTTTCCTTTCAAAGAAGTTCGGTTGAACTCGCGTGGGAACCCTTGGACATATGGGGGTCAATCAATATTACTGGCCCTAAAATGACCATGGGTACCTTTTCCCATTCAGTCGTAAACGTCGAATCTTCTTTGGTGGTTTCCCTTACGGTCACCCCATGTGTACCGGACCTTTTGATCAGCCCCCATATGCCGAAGCCTTCTGGCAACGCCGACAATGATAGGCTGGCCAAGGTGGCTACGTGCTGAAAGGGGCGCACCCCTCCCTGGGTTGCTGGTTTTCAAGAATTTGGGTGTGCCTCAAACCAAGGGCACCCCGCAAGATGGGTTTGCTATTGGTGATTCTTTTTGATTCTTAGCCTCTTTCGCCCAACAAAGGGTGCCCCTCGACAAGGAAAGCCCCATGTAAGATTTACCAAACAACCGCAAGACGGAGGCAGCAGCAGACGCCGGCCAGGCCGTGTTGCAGACCTTCGTAGTTGTGACCTTTAACATCAATGCCGGGGTCGCAGAAAGTGGGGAATGAGTGTTTCAGGCTTGACAGGTCAGCATGTCAGCGCCTTTTTCGGAGCAGGAACTGGTGAAGCACAGGTAAACACCAAAACATAGTCAAGAGGATGACTTCGCTTCGGGCAGCTGAAAGCCTGCTCCGGCTCCCGATACATCTTTCACAGGGAGGTCGGTTCTAAAGTCGAAGCCTCAGAGCGGTGGTTTTTCAGAGCTGCAAACCTTAGATTTACTTTTCCCACAAGCTTTGAGTCCAAGCTCTCGAGCACCAGAGTCAGTTTTTGTTGCACGCGCGAGAGAAAAGAGAGAAGAGCAGTCCAGCACCTGTTGAGAGAACGCCGGCCAGAAGGAGCCCGGTTTACGGGCTTTGTCTCTGTTGGAAGCCTCTGGGGCCTCTGGGGTTTGCGTCCGACGGAGCTACGGAGCTCAGGTCTTTCGGCCACAGCTCAGAGACTCTGACATCATCCCCAAGATGTGCGAGGCGCAACCTCGAACCTCGGGCTTCGAGCGACCGCGCTGAAAAAACGCTTCGATTTGTAAGCCCAACGTGGAGTGAAGGTAAGCCACGGCTCGGAACTGCGGCACGAGCTGGGCATTTTGTGTTGATGTGAGACGCGGTCGCGGATCGGAAAGACTCCTGATTCCGAAACCTGGATCTTGAACTGCAAAGCAAACGCAAGGGAAGAATGATCCTTCGTACGCAGCGCCTGCCATGACGGAGCAAAGGGGTTGTCTCTGATCTGAGAACGCCGGGTTGCTCATAAGCATGCTGTCATTCGTCGCCAGTGTTTAGAAGACGGCCATGGTATGCTCGACTCGGCTTTGCACATGCTTAGCAGTCTTGCTTAGAAGGACCATTGTTTTAGGATCAGTTGGGCGGCCTTCTTACAAGTTGATGGGTGCTTTGCAAGACTATCCCTCGCTTATGATTGAGGCTGCGCGGGGATCTCTAGAGCAAGCCGTGTCCGCAGGGCACCGGCGGTTTCACGAGGCATGCCCAAGGCATCGGGCTGTGAGATGATCTTCCGAAAACAAGCCCCGGAGTGCGCTCCAAAACTGCCCCTTCCCTTCAGCTTCCAGCGCAGCGAGCAGGTCCTTCTGAGCAGGTTCTTCCGTCGCAAAGCGTGCCAACCGGAGGGGCGCGCGGCAAGGATGGCCATGCAACAGGATGGATAAACCATGATCTGCCACTAAACATCCCCAACTGTCCGTTAAGGGAGGAAAACCATCTCTCCACTTCCTTGTCAGGGTCCGAGGAGAACCTTAGACAAATCTCGCATGCCGCCGCCCCATCCTCACAGGGTCGGACACTCTTCTGTGGAGGGATGTTGCCCAAAATTGGACGAGCTTGGCTTCAAGAATAAGCCTCTAAAAGGATGCGCTAGACAGCTGTTCCCCGGCTGCCCTCCAAAACAACTCCAAAATGCGTTGCCCTCCAAAACCAAACCTAAGATGTGGTTTTCCATCAAAAGAGGGCGGACTTGTTCGAACGCACCGGCCAAATCATGTGACGCAGGTGCCTCGCATTTTGACGCACGTGTCCATGCTGGAGCTGCTGGTGCCCGTCCTAAAAGGGTGTGTGTTTTTGCTTTGTTTCTTCCCCCCCGTCAAGTAGTCTGTGGTCCATGAGATTTTGTGTGTGTGTGTGTGTGTGTTTTGACGGCACCTGTTTCAGCTTTAAAGGGAAGCCCAAATTTTGGTTTTGTTTTTGTTGGGCCGGAGGGGGGGGGTTGACACATACCCATTGTAAAGAGAGAGAGAGAGTACTCGCAACAAAGAGCACATGTTCTCTCTTTGATTTTGGAACTGGGGAAGCAAAGGAGGGGCAAGATATTTGGGGTGCGGGAAGCATTGTAGGAGCACAAACAAATACTCAATGCTGCAGGGATCCGTTTTTGACTACCCCGATGTAGACTCAAACCCAGAATTTTTGATTTCCCAAAAAAACCGTTTCCCTGGGTTCAAGTCCATTTGGAAGTCAAAAAGTGGGAAGCCAATGCTGAGATCAAGCTGGCCATTAATGTGGACTACACCAAGGGACCGCCTGAAGCTCAGTTTCGCCCAAGCACTTTGGAGTCTCCGTTTATTCCTGAAAAAAGGTGTGTGACTTCTTTTTCTTCTCTGGAACCCCCCGCAACCCCCGGGTTTTAGGTGGTTTTCTTTTTGGTGTCCATTGAGAGAGCCACCAAAGAGGGGAGTGCCAACTCAAAACCCACACGCGGGGCCCAGCTTTTCAGGATGCGTGACCCGTTTCAGGTTCTGTGACTTGCTGACGCAGCTGTTCCAGGCGGATGGGGCGAAGTGCAGCAAAAGCCAGCCGAAGCGACCAGACACCAAGGCAACCCAAAGCCAAGCCGCAAATCACACGCCAAGCCAAAGATCCAAGCAACCAAGCCAAAGCAGTGACTGGCCAAGTAAGCAAGCGCGCAGGCAGGGCAGGCAGGCAAGCAAGACAGCCAAGCTTCCAAGCCAACCAGCCAGCCAGACAAACCGAAGCACCTAAGGAGCACGCCAGGGCCCCGAGATTGCGGTTGTTGCGACTCCATGTCTCCGTTTCTGGTGCCAGACCCGCCCTGGCCCCGAGAGGACCTATAACTCGTTGTAGGTGATTCAAAGCCGATTTGATCAGCTAGTGGCAGACAGCGATGACATCTATTATGCATACAAACATGCATATGATGATCGGAACACACATATATATATATATATTATATACATACACATGTATGTATATATATATATATGTATACATGTATGTATGTACATAATAGACATACCTGAGTACACATCTGATTTCCATTTTTATTTCCTGGGGTAAGCACTTCAGACCCATCGCCAGGGTGCCTTTGAACAGCTGCCGGAGGAAAGCCAGGCGGGGCGCGAGATGCCGCGGCGAGAATGTGTCCAGGCTGCCCCACGTGTTACCAAGTATTCCCAAGCGTTTCTTGGATTGCTGACGTGGGATTTGTTGTGTTTTGCATGTGTGGACTATTAATTTTTGGGATGGTCCTTTAACAAACGCAAGTTTTTTTTTTTTTTTTTTTTTTTTTTAATTTTTTTTTCGTGCGAGTCCGCATGCTTTTTGGATGAGCAGTGCTGTTTGTCATTGCTTGCATTTTGTGCCAGATGTTTCCTTGCAACAGTGTTGATAGAACCAAGCAATTACTCTGCGGCTATGCATACGAACACCTGAGAGTGAGGGCCTCCCCGATTTTATGGCTACGCCACTAGAATCAGGAGGTAGCCATGAACCGGAGAGGGTAGAAGAGGGGACCTATCAAGAACAAGCGGTGCATCTCGTGGGGCCTTCAGGATCTGGCACTTTGTTATTTTCGTTTGGAGGCAGGACGAAAAGTACCAAAAGGACCCGCACATGTCATGTGTGGGGTTTACTTCCTGTTTTAAGCGTTCACTTACCTGGGACCCGCGCTCGCGGCTGGCTCCGCCAGTCGCGGCTTCAGCGACGGCTGACCTGCGAGCAGAGCATGCGCCTGCCTTTCGCGCGCTCCTCTGTGAAGGCGCGGGGAGCTTTTTCCTTTTCTCGCGGCGTTTGGGGGGGGTCGGTGGTCGGTGGTTGGTGGGTGGTGGGTGTTTTTGGGGGGCCCCTGGGACTTTGGAACCACACATAGGGCATTGCTGGACCATGGCTCACGCTTTCTGAACCGCTTGTATTGCGCTTCCGCGCAACGGATGCGCTTGGCCGGGGGAATTCCGAGCTGGCTGCACCCTTCGCAGCGAAACAGCAAGCTTCACCGCGCAAGGGCCGCAGCAACTTGTTGATCAGCAGAAGAAGAAGAAGCAAAGTTGAGCTGCGCGTCAGGTTTTGTTTGATGTGAAGCAAGGGATTGCTCAGGTACTTGGCAGTCATCCAGGTTGTGTGTAGCGGCGGTAGCGGCGTCAAATGTCTGGTTTTCCAGCCTGGCCTCGAAGGAGTTGATGAGCCAACGGGGACCAGGTTCCAAGTCGCCATGTTTCAGGTGCATGCCGTAGGGAAATCCTAAGAGTCCGAGCATTTCGACTTTCGTGGCCGGGCGATTCTCCTTTTCGGAACCGCCCAAAGTGAAACACCTCACGAAATTCGCCCACTTTGACGCTCCGGCTTCTCAGTTCTCAGGCCTGCGAGCTGCTGGCTTTTGCCTTGGCCGCCCCAGAAGAGGCGCAGATTGCTCGGACAAGACTTGTGTGGCCCGAAAAAAGGACTAGACCGAGCCAGGAAACAAATGGAAACACGAGTCGGGAAACGGATAGGGGCGAGTCCAGGAACAACTAGGGCCGTGAGACATGTGGGTGCGATTGATGTGTGTTGTCGCCTGAAACATCTTGTTTCGGATGGAATTTTAGTCTATGGGATCTGTTGGCAGCGGGGCGACATGCGGCGTCTCTCAAAGTGGTCACACCGACTGGGCGGCACAGCAGCTCCAGCACCTAGCATGTTGCAAGCGAAACCTGCGGGCAGGCGTCGGCGGAGGCGTCAGCGGCAAGCAAGACCCGTCGGAGAAACAAATGGCGGCACAACAAGAACAAGGCAGGGCTGGGTCTTCTTCTAGGCCCAGTAGTGCCCTTTTTCCCCCTTTTTTGGGGGGAGGGTTCCCCTACTAAATAGACTACAGAAAAAAGGGCACCCTTATTCTAACCTCTCTACTGGAGGACCTAGTCTTTGAAAGGAAGCCGGCCTTGGGATTGGGACGTTGGCGTTTGGCCATGATCGCCAGTGTTGTTCGCAATGACTTTCCAAAACCGGCATAACCTTTCGGGCGAAGTGACACTTTTTCCAGTGGATTCCTCTTGGGTGATTTAGTCACCGTGTTCCCCGCGAGGGTCTGCCGTTTGGTTTCACAAAGAAGGGGTTCCAATCCCAAACCCACTTATCTAAACCGCGTGATGCAAATTAAAATCCAGCAATGTCTGCCCTTATCATGAGCGTGGTTTTGGGTACGCTTTGCCAAACTTGATTTCGACTCTACGGGAACTAAGCTCGAACTAAGATTTTCTTGTTGCCGTTTCTAGGTTGCTTGATGCTTCACCCCCCGAAGCAGGTCATTAGTTGGGTTAAGTAAAACGGGGTTGTAAGATAGGTGTGGAGGGTGAAACAACTTGCTGGTGCGACAGGCAGGGAATGAGACTTGGAATGACCCCTATAAACAATCCCTTGAAGGGAATCCCCTTGCGGTTCATTGCCAGCACCTCCAGCCCCCCCGGCCATAGGCGAGGAGGAGGAAGAAGCTCTTCGCCATGCAGGCGAAACCGGGACCCACGGAAATCTGTATGCCCTTTGCAGAGTGGATACATGCATACATACATACATACATATATATATATATATGTATAAACATAATTATATATACGTGTATGTATATATATATATATATGCATGTGTATGTATTAAATATAAATACATATATATATATATATACACATACTGCAATACGGGATTTATAGCCGGATTTTTTCTTGTGGGGATCTCATGTCGAGTGCATCCCAAAATTGGGCCCTCAACATCGGCGTCGTTTGCCTTTAAACGAACCCAAGAAGGGTACTTACCATCAAAACGACTCCTCCTTTTAGTTAAGCTTCTTCCAAGGTAAAACGCAGATACTCAGATAATTAGGGGTGCAGTTCCTGGGTTTAAGTCTACCTTGGGTTAGTCAACAAATCGCGTCCGGAACGGGTTGAGTTAGCAATTTCGGTGAACAGGTGCCCCTCCGTGTGGTTTCATGTGCAAACAGACCCCCAAACCCGTTGATGTTTGACATTTTCCAAGGCAGCCCTACGCTGGCTGGTCAGGGAAATCGGTTTCATAGGATGTTTTTCTCGTTTGTGCCCAGAAACAAGATTGATTTTCAATTTTTGGCCAGTGCGAGGCACGCATGCAGCGAGGTAGCTCTGGCATGAGCCATGTTTAGCTACAACACGCGATGCGTCGTTGTTCGTCAGTCAACATCTTTCATCAATGTCCTTTGCCCGAAGGAGACTAGTTTCCACAGTTGCCTGTGTGGCGATTGCATCTGGGGGTTGTCTACGATGTCGCCGTGCTATACGCCTGGCGCACAGGCTTCTCATCAAAATGATGAAGAGCCTGAGGCAGACGATGAGGGTGACGAGGCCTGGAGAAAGAGTACTTCACAGACTCCCGCCAACTGGGCGTGTCTTTCTTTCCCCCAAAATGCTGGTTTCCTTTTGGTTTTCCTTTAAACAAGGGCGACCCTCAACAAAAAGATACTCCCAACTGGGTTCGGATTCTGCGTGGCTGTGCTGGCGAGCTTTGCCAGGAGTCAGATGATGATGACATGCCTCCACTGGCAGAATCCTCAGACGAGTTCAGATCACCACCGTGTCATGGCCCAAAGGCTTCCGTGTCATGGCCCGAAAGGGGTTCCCTCCGAAGATCCCCGAACCACGCGCTCAAAGCCAAGAGCAACAAGTTGAGTTGGCCATGGGGCATAACCTATGGCTCCATATTCAGGTGGAGGAACATCCATTCGCCACCTATTTTGATGTTCACCAGGGGTACAGGGTTTTGACCCACAGCCAGTTGGGTGGCAGTAGGCGCTTGACAGATCCATTCATTTTGCGGCTGTCACGTGACACGAATTGATGGTTTCCTTGTGCTCACTACAGCGGCCTTTGGTTCACTTCCATTGCTGGAAAGGGGTGCCTATGGGTGCCTCTTTTTTTGAGGGGGAGCCCAAGGGTGGTTGATTTCCTCCAGTTTCCCTTACCCAGCAAGAAAGGGGCTACCAGCATTTTCCGAACTCGGAGGTCCCGGCGGATGGCTGGGAGAGCCACTTGGGTGCTGCAGATGAGGCAAACCCCGGGACTGAAACCGTGGGACGGCGTGGGCGAGTCTCGCGATCCCCCAAAATGGAGAGACGCGACCATCAAATGTTTGAGACCCACCCAATTTTTGAGGGGGTTTCCTCTTGGTGACCCTTCTTGGGGTGTTTTTTTTGCCAAAAAGACATTCCCTCTCAATATTGGTTTCCCTTCGAAGCCATCATTTTTTGGGTCCCCAACAAAGTCACACCCATGTGTTCCATGGTCAAACGACACCAACCGAACGGAGTTTAGCCGACTGGGGATCTTGTCAAGGGAGCCATGATCCATGAAATTTTGGAAACCGGACCGGTGTCCTTCCTGGGCATCCAAGCAGAATTTGAGGTGAAAGTTGAATCAAAATGTGAAAGACTGATCCCACAACGAAAACCGAGCGACAAAAAGAACATGCAGGCAAACGTTACGACAACATTCCCAAAATCGGAATTCTTATATTGTTCCCGCTCGGATGTAGGTTTAGGCTTTAGGGGGTGCTTTTCCAGCTTGAGCAGCATTTGCACTGTTTGGGTGATGGATGTCATGGGAATTTACTTCCACCACACTGACGTTTGTGCTAGTGTCTTTTTTTTCGGGCAGGCGAAAAGGAAGCTGGTGAAGCCGAACACCTTGTGCCACAGAAGAGTTTAAGGACTTTAGGACTTTAGGTTTCCGGGTTTCCGGGTTGGGCTTCAGAATCTTTGGGTTTATATGGGTGTGGCTCAAAGCCAAGCAACTGCAGGGTTACGCAGGTTTTAGTCCTCGTTTCCATTTACCAAGGTCCCATTTTGTCACATGTTTGTGAGGCAAGTCGGCGATTTGCTACTCCCATGCTTCAGCGCGCTTCTTCGAAAACGCGCGGCTGTGCGTCGCTCAAAAAACAATCCCCCCGAGTTGGGTTTCAAGAGTCACAGCCATGGCGCCTTCCAGGATGGCGGGCTTTCAGCTATCTCCTTTTTTTTCCCCTCCGTTTTTGTAGGCGCTTCAGTCTAGGAGCCGCAGAAATTGTTCAGCGCTTCACCGAAATTTCTGTCAACCTGATGGACCTCGATCGGAAAGTTATCCATCCACTAACGAAAAGCTGACTCACCATGGATTCAAGGGGGGTTGACTCGCCAGGGCTCAACATTTCATGGGGTCTGGGGGGAGGGAGGGCGGTGGTGAGGGAGCCCAAATTAGCTCTTAAGCCCGGAAGAAGCCCTTAAATAAGTCCTTGAATGTAATACTGTAAGGGCTCCCCACGCCCCCGCCCCCAGGCCCATGATTCCGAGGGGATTTCTCTTGCTTTACTCAGGCTTCCAGCAGCAGACCCAACATGGGAGTCTGTCTCCGCCCATGTTGAAGGCAAACGGTCTCAAATTGCTTTCTGTACATTGGGAAAAGCGGCTCGCTATCACCAATATTTCATATTCGGTGATTTGGTTGAACTTAAGAAACCGGAGCAGCTTTTGGACACAATTTGAAGGCATGTGTGCTCAGCTGGAAGCTTTGCATTTGCCCCTTTGATAAACCAAGCACTAGGCGATATTATCGGAGGTAAGAGCTCATGGCAGAGGGGGTCCGTCTGACAGCACCCATCAATATGCCGCTGATTGTATCCCGAGTCCCAAAAGACCCGCGAATTCGCAGGCGGGGGTCCCTCAGAAGGCAGTATGCCAACTGAGTGGCTCGGGGACCCAGGGAGCCAGGGAGCCAGCGAGTGTGGGTTTGTGAGGGTTTTTGACTCCCGGAAGGCTTGGTATGCTGGATTTCCCCATGTTTGCACCTCTCAGGGCAACCCGTTGGATTGAAGTGGCCGATTTCGACTTTCGCGACAGAAACCACAACTACAACTGTAGTCCCTTGCTTGCGCCTTGCGCCATATGGGATCGAGGTTTGCCCATTTGCTCATTGCCTTGGACGCAGACATTTGTCTTGCCCTGGACGCCAGCAAAAATTGTACGCGGTAGGAGCCAGGGACTTTTCCACTGCGCGAGAGCGAGCAAAATGCGTGCCTTTCCAGGCGCGCTGATGCATGACCCTGTGAGCACTCCAGACGGATACCTCTTTGAACGAGCTGCGATTGAGGAGCACCCGCGCGTTTCGTCTTGAAGTTGCAGCCCTCGCATCGCTCTGGGCGTCTTTTTTGTCCCTTAGATTGTGGGCATTGAATTCGAATCGCTTCGTGTTGGTGATTGTGCAAGTCCACGGCCACCATATTCTTGATCCAAATCCGGCTCACAGTTGTTCATGCATTGGCCTTGGATTCTTTATGGCTATTTGGCAACGGTTCGGTGGACCTTAACTGGTTGGCCAAAACTTGTTGGTTGAAACAGCTCGGATGTTCCGTCTTGGACCCGCAAACAGCTATTAACTCTTTCTTTGCAGACGGCCGTTACCGCAAGCAAGATGATCACCGCGAGTTCTGGTCACTTTGGCTCAGTTTATGAGAAGCGAGTATCTGGTTCCTTGCTTGTCCCTCACCCAAGGACCTCAGTCAGGATGTCACGTTTGTTTCTCTGAAATCGTTCCGTGCCGTTGGCAGGACTGGACCAGCCAGCATGGCTCCAATCCGCTCACCGGAGCTCCCCTGGCCTGGTCCTTGGGTCCTTGGAATGCTGTTCGATCAGGTGTTTGAGGGACCCCCAAACACCAGCCAACCGATTTGGTTTCCTCAATCCCCAAAAGAGTTTTGGAGGGTGAACCAACCTGCTGCGATAGGCAGGGAATGAGAATTGGAATGACCCCGAAATAAGAAAAACATGATCCCTTATAATTTCCTCTAATCGAATCTCGTTCCGGTTCATTCCCAACACCCGGAAGGTCATTCACTACCTATCGCAACAGCAAGATAAATGGAAGTAGGCGGGGGACATGGACGATGCGAGCTCCCTGAGAACATGGACGACGTGACAGAGCGACAAGATATCGCCAGCTTGGTCCAGGCCAGCCACTTCTTTTTGCCGAGATGCTTCTGAAGTCACAGGTTCCCGTTATGTGTTCCCTTTAAACCAAAAAAAGGTACCCCTCCTCCCAAATCCAAAAGACAGAAAGAAAGAAACAACACCGATTCGGGTGTGTTTGCTTCTATACCCAAGTAAACAGGGGGAACCGGTTTCCCTCGAAAAAAAGACAGACCCATTTGTCTCACCGCTTTACCTGTGGAACCTTCGGGCAGGCCAGAATGCCAACCTTGTGAGCAAGTATATGAATGAACATAAATGATACAATGCATATATATATATGGTTATAGGACGCATTGTATACTGTGCAGAATTGTACAACCAGATGCATTACACACAGAGCACTGAGCAAACCACAATCCAAACATACACACACACACACACATGCGACGTGCCACCCATGAGAACTGCTTCAACGCTTTGGCAGGGCTACCAGATGCAGATGCTTTCCGTGTCCCAAGTGGCGCCGGAAAACGTGGATGGGCCTGGTGAGAAGGCCTGAGAAAGACGCATGCATCACATAGATTTATGGTTATAACGTTCAAACGTACCTGTGTTGTAAGCTGCCATGAACTACTTTGCATGGCATTTGCGACACGCATTTGATTTGGTCTCCGCAGGGGACTTGTTGGATACAACACAAGACTACTTGGGTGTGTCTGGACACAATAGGTGGGTTCCCTTCGACTTTCCTTATCCCCCAAAAGGATTTCGCCTCAACCAAGCACCACAATCCAAAAATCAATCAACAACACGCAAGCTGTTACTCTTTGTGTGGCCGAACCGGCTCTCGGTTCGCTCGCTTTTCGCAACGCGAGAACGCGAGAACCGGCCAGGTGCCTTTGCATCCAGACATGCCAGCACCTCCTCCAACGAAGCCAGTTGGGACCCCATTCGGTGGCCGTTCGCACGAAAACCGAGAGCCAAGCAGCGAGTGTTATTGGAGGAAATCCGAGCTGTTCAGATGAGCCACAATCAAAACCCGCTGCCCTTTTTAACTGGAAACGAGAGGGAATCCCTTTCGCTTTTCAAACAGGCTTGTTTCCCTATGTCGAGGCGCGCATCCCAATTGCGACGCCCATAGGTTTGTTCTTCGTAGCATGTTTTTGGCGGCAGTATCCAGTGTGTTGGGCAGCAGACATGCCAGTCCCATAGTAAACTGGACAGGGTCCAACATATGGCATACAACTGGCTTCGGAAAGGTGCGTCCCATTGCTTGGTGCTGCCTTACGAAAGAAACCTTCAAGGGGAAGGTTGACCGACCCCGCCCGTCGATTGAAAACTTGGCTGGCAAATACAGGGGGAATGGGTCAAAATTAAACCACCGGGGGACTGCAGGGTTTAGTCCATGTTTCCACTTAGCAGGGTTCCATTTTGGGTACACTTTTGTTGACCCAGAGCCATATGGATCCGGCCATCTGAGCGAAACTTCTGGGATCGCTGGTGGATGTTGCACTGAGGTGGAGACGGGCCCGTCGCTGCTAGGGGCAGGGGCCGCACAGAGCTGACTTGACGTGTCAACGAACAGTTTTCTGTTCTTTTTTTTTAAACGAAAAGAAACATCTGGTCGTAGAGAGGGGAGCCATGAGTCGAGCATGGTTTGCCACAGCTCATTGTGCTGCTATGTGTGGAGTGCAGGGTACTCATGCAACAAGATGGACGTCCGCCCATGCCTCCCTCCATCCCCGTTGGCATCCAAAGTGTAACGAGATTCTGCACCGCCGGCACACAAGGTTTAGAAATCATGAGAGATCGTCAAATTAAGATGGTGCAGGATTGTGCATCCACTGTGCCTGTGCGTGTGTGTGCGACATATGTGCATGCTCTGAAGATGTCGTCCTTTATTCCACCTGGAATACGGAAGCCAGTGGTTCATTTGCCGGCGTTGGTTGCCAGTCACTGAAGGATTTGCCCTCCTTGACCAAGACAGACTCCAAGCAGGATAAGAAGGCAGGATGCCGGCGAGGCTTTAGACGGCTCCATACCCCGTTCCAACAGAGTGGCTGAGAGTCACAGTGCCGCCACCTGCAGTACACCTGAGTTTCTTAACATGGAGCAAAGGAGTTTGTTCAGGCTGTAGGAAACTGTTGGACATTGTTGCTTTAGTCCTTTCCGATGCTTGCAAGGACAGAAGTCACTTTGCCCCTGGGACTTGAGGTACGTGTTGTATTGGTTGCTCAAAGTTGGTTTTCAGGTGTGGTGGTTTCCATTGGCATGAGTCTTATCCCGAAATTCCAGTTGGTACCAGGGAGCACAACTTTGCCCTTGATGGTTGTTTTATGGGTTTGTTTGGCATTGATTCCAGATGTCAGTGGTTGTAGGCTTGCGTCATTTATTTTAGAGCTACATGATCAGAAGCGGAAATAACCCAACCGGCAAACATGAGAAGCCAATAAATGGTTACATGGTTGGTCTCTTGATTGCACTCGTCACATCATTGGTTATCATCACCCGTGTAAAACGTTTGCTACATGACCATGGGTGTCCTTCTTAGATTGGTTTGACTAGAAATGGATGACACTGGTTTAGCCCGGTTTCATTTCATGTACCAGGGCCATCTATTTTTTCCCAAAAGGACAGCGTTTGCTACACGGCTTGCACTAGTGGCGTCATGGGTTCCACCGGTTCCTTATCCGAGCGCCATCCGGCGCCGAGCCGGTTTTCCAGTGGCTCCCGAAAGCCTGTGCTGAGGGCCCCAGTGGCTGGCAGAGCACCCCATATCCGGTTTCCAGTCAGAAGAGTGTCAAGTCGCTTTTCCTCTCTCCCTCGGAAAAAAAAAGGAAAGAGGACCCCCTTTAAAAAAAAAAAAAAACGAGAAGGCGGAAGAAAACATCGAGCGAGCCGCGTGGGGAGCGCGCGTGGGCTGGTTTCGAGGAGAAGAACAAGATCCGGATCGAGTCCCGGTCGGTGGTGGAGTGCCCCGAGGCAACTCCGCGGGTGAAATGCCGGAGCTCAGAGATGCCCGGTGAAGCCGGAATGAACAGCTTAAAGATATAGAAATATGTTCTTTTGTCAGAACTACAAGGAGGTCTTGAAAATATGCATGTGTATATACATATATATACATATATATATATATATATTACATAGATTTTATCATATATATATATAATGCCTGTGCAGTCCTGCATGGGCGCTTCCGCGTGATCCCTCTTCCTTGTCCGATGCTCCTGCCCTGTTCGCGGCTTCTACCAAACTCTCATCCACCGGAGCCTGCCTCTTCTGCCCTGGCCCGTCTGCAGTCGACTCAAGCAACTCAACCCACCTCCAGCCTCCAGTTGACAGGAGTTTCGGCGATGTCGACCACCTTAGCCGACGGACCGGAGCGACATCTACTTGCAAACGCACCAGCATCTCCTTTACTAAAGCACCACTGATGCGGGTGTGGCCCACTTTCGTCTACGAACTATCTCAACATGTACGTTGAGAAAGCGGAAGGGCCTTTCCTTTGTTTCAACACCGGTGATGCTGAGTACAGCCGCTCCATGGATGGAGTGTAGGCCGCGCGCGCCCTGTAGCCCGTAACTTTGTTGTGATTAGCGCTCTGAGAGTCATGGCAAAGAGCTTGACTAGACGTGCCTGGCAAAGACGGCAACGACGGCAAAGACATGCGAGCAGTGAGAGGAGATGTCTTCGCGCAGGCGTTTGCAAGGTTTCTGTGAGTGCAGATTGATCTCAATAACAGGCATGCAGGCGCGCTTGTGGGTGTCGCTTACGGACCATTGTGATGTCTGCTTTCAGCAAGCGGAAACGCATCTCCTTAGTCAACACAGAGTGAGAGAGTGTCGACCACTTTTGTCAACCAAGACTGTCCAAAGCAGCCGAGAACTGCCGGGATCGAACAGTGCAATTTCGTTATTCATTTTGTAAAAAAAAAAAAACACATGATGTCGTGGAACAACTCCGGAAACCAGAGTTTGGAAATTGCGACATCTAGTTTTGTATCTGAACATACTATCACAAAACACGGTTCTGCCTCCCGCACCTTGAGTCGTCTCAAGTTTCAAACTTTGACGTCCTGGGCTAGACAGCGAACGCGAACGGGCAGGAGGGCGCAGGGCTAGTTTCACTCTCGCACATATCTATACATGTCTATATATATATATAGACACGGGTTATTCCTATATTCTATGATCGTTGTTCAGGTGGTGATATTATGTGTTTGTTGTTATTCCAAATGGGGGCCTGATCAGATTGTCAATTTGCGTGCCTCCAAATGGAACCATGGCGGCTTCTGAATGCCCCAATGACACCATTTGGGGAGGGCCAAACTTGTGAGGCGACAAGTTGCACAGATGTCGAGGGTGTGGCAGCAATCGTGCTTTTTCAAGACGAAGTAGACAGGTCTTGTGCCAGCAAAGGGATATTTGGTCAAACCATTCTCAGCTTCAATCTTGGAAGGGGAAGCGGCTCCAGTTGGCTCGCGGCTTTTGGACGCAGTAGGACAGTAGAAGCATCTTTGGGATAGCCAATCCACTGGATGCTTTTGGACAGGCAATGCGCTGCGCCATCGACGGCAAGGTGATGGTGAACCCTGCCGCATGCCCAATGCCGGCCCGTGGCCCCATGTGACGCGCGCACGAGACATGCGCTCAGGTGGTCTCCCCCTACGGCCATCATTTCGAGAGGAAGACTCTGGACAAATGGTTTGCGAATTGCGGATCTGCGGGCGCCTGAGCGGGCCAAGCGTTCAGGATCGAGCAAACTCCCCTGGAGTGGGGGATCGCCAAAAGCAACAAGGAATGGCAACTGCACTGGAGGGTTGTCAAAGTTTAGGGCCCATTTTGGTCTCCCCAGCTGTCTTCTTGCTTGTGGCTGGGATCGATCTTGACCTCTCGACCTAGGTCTGTCCGATCACCCAGAAGCCGCTTCGCATCGAGGAGTGCGAGCCGGATCCGGAGATGAAGAAGAGGAGAGTGGTGTCATGGTTCCATTTGCCGAGTTCAATTAGTTGAGGTAGGATGCTGAAAATCCAAGGCTGGTTCAAGATTCCCCAAAAATCAACCGGTTCCTGGGTTTACTTGGGCACTGGGCACGTCGCTTGAAGCACGCAAGCTGACAACTTGCCAAATTATCAGGTTGGTAAGGGGATGATTTCCTTTGGTTTCCCTGGCACAAAACAGCTCCAAACGGGGGCACCCCCCATATGAGAGTCCAAAAGTATCCCAGAGTGCTCGCACCTGAGCGCCATGCAATTTAAACGCCCCGGCCAGGATCGTGAGATTCTTGAAGGGCCAGGACCGATAATCCCGGCGACGCCGGAAAAGGCCGCGAACTTTCCAAGGCGCAGGTAGCCACGAATCTTCAGAAAGCCGGGGGTCCGGGCGCTCATGGAGCCGACCCCAAATTGGCAGCCTCTTCCGGACACGGATGTTCCCAAGCGCAGAATCCCAAGCGAAGCCAAAGCGGGCCAAGTCCGATTCGCGCGGAAGGCGGGATCTTAAGGCCGGTGTCTCTTGAAGGCGTTGAGAGATTCTGACCATTGCATCTTACCATATCTCACCCAAAGATCCCAGAATCATGCAAGGAAAGACCAGATGGTGTCACCAGCTCAGGTGTTAGATGCGTCCGCTGCGAGTTGCTGAGTTCACCGTTAGAGCGCGTTCGAATGGATCTGCATGTTCAGGAGCCACGCAAATCACCGAAATCAGTCTCTTTTCAGCGTCCTCCCGGCCACAGAGGGGCGACCCCACAAATTTGAGTGAATCACAAAATGATGGGAGTCTTTGAGATGCGACAGACATTTTCAGTAGTCTGCAGAGTTGGGAGGAACAGAGGGTCTCACTTCTGACAAACACCCGGGATTTTGCGAACATTTGCCCCATGCTATTCCATTGGCGATGCGAGTTCGGTCAAGACAGCCTAGGTTCATTCTGTGGATGGACGAAATCTTGCACCTTCTAAGAACACCCTGAATGGCGATTCCCTTGTAAATACCAGCACACAATGGTGTCCCATGGCACAGTAGGAACCCTGGGAAGGTCAGTCCGCGGCTTGTCTTTCAGGCACCGTCTCATATTGATCCGCCATTTTTGGCTCCAGCGGTGTTCTGGACAGGTCTCCCGACAGGCCCGGAAAGGACACGTCAAACGGGTGGCTCAGAAAACCGAAGGGGTCCCCCCCAAAAGAAGACACCTCTCAAATCGTGACGCGGCTTTGTCACGGTTTTTCTCGTCAGGCTCGTGGAGAATCGCCGGTGTGTGCTGCTCCAAAGTTTTATGATTTGTGCCAGGTCAGCAGAATTCTGCGACTGTCGTCATGGACGCTCGGCTGTGGCTTGGCACGTTTCAAGCTCCCGGTTGGACATCCCGGGTTTGTTTTTGATTGAAGCCTTAGCATTCACTTTTGCATGCTGGCTGCAAGAACCTCCCGTGACGTTTGATGGTACCCTTGGCACCTTAATGGGGAATAGGAGAACTCCACCAGATGCGGGGGTCAACGTTGCGCGTTGCTCGCCAGGTTCTTCTTCCTCGGGTTGGTTCTGCGAACGTGGGCATTGGAGGAGCGGGAGAGTTTCGGGCATCCGGAGGGACTTCGCTTTGACATCAGCTGGGTCTGTCGTGTTTTGAGGGCACCAACCTTGTTCTTGGGGTTTGAAAAAGGGAAGCCAAGAAAAAACCCGAAAATCATTTTGAGGTGCCCTACAAGGACACACCCAAACAAACAAGCCAAGCCGTCTGTTCAGCTCTTTCTGGAGGTTCCCCTCAAACCCCAAAACAGACTTCGACCCAAGCATTCTTTGCCGATCTCGCCAGGCTGTCAGCTCTCGTCGCTTGGATAGCATGGCTCACTTTGAGGTTTTTGGGGACCTGCGTGCCATACTTAGTTTCACAATGATTGTTTACAAATCGAACCTGGTGGAGACTGGGGAGGTCTTTTTTGGCACAGGGTGTGGGTTTCGGCGCTTTTGGGGTAAAGGAAGATGAAGGGGCCAACCACGGCGAGGGCGGCAACTCCACGAAAAAACCCCGCGGGTTGATCGACGAGTTCAGGTTCAGCTTCGGCTGAAGTCTCTGCGGACGGTTCCAGCAGAGGCCCATTGGGGGCGGTGCCAATCACTGGCCAGTTGAAGTCTTAATTGGTGCGTCTTTTTTAGGGGACCCCCCCAAAAAAAATTGGTGGCTTTCCTTCTTGAATCCCTTCAAAGCCAACCTCCAACCCCCCCCCGCCAAATAGACCGAAGCTCGACTGAAACAAACTGCGCAGCCCTGCGGCACTGGTCTGCTTTCAGTTTTCCCGTTTCCCAAGCCTTGTACGGCGCCCTTTGCCAGGCATGTAGCTTCCAAGTTTTGTTTTTTCCCCATGCCCAGAGAAGCTCCGGAGTGGTGCTTATGAGCAGCTTTGGGCAATGTTCCGGAGTTGTTCTGGGGGTTGCTGGATGCCAGCTGTGCATTTTTGTTTCTGTTTGACAGACCTACTGTGGATGGTTGCGAAGTCCATTTGCACCGCCTAAGACACCCTGGTGTCTGATTCGATTCCCCCGACTTAAACACCAACCCTAATTCCATTTCGTGGTGCGAGCAGATTATGCGTCCACTGCATCACCGCGAAGCCGCGCCAGGCATGGTGCGGGCTGAAAGATGGTGGGCACCCAAGGCGCCGCCGGATGAAAGCCGACCACAGCCCCTGGCGCACACAGGAGTTTCAACCGGGAAGCGACGGACGTCGAAAAGAAGCGACATCTTGCAAAGAAAAAACAACAAAACTCTTTTGCGGTGTCACTTGGTTTACAGGATGAGAAACTGTCGGCTCTCGGGTTTCCGTCACAATTTTCAACAACCTGCCCCACTGCCTGTTTTTCCCTTCCCTCTCGCTCCGCTCTCCCTCTCTCCCCTCTCTCCCCTCTCTCCCCTCTCTCCTCTCTCTCCAAACAAGTCTCTCTCTCCAAACAAGTCTCTCTCTCTCTCTCTCTCTCTCTCTCTCCCCAAGCAAGTCTACCAATCACAAGGGAGTGGGTTCAAATCCCACCAGCGCCCCTCATGCCAACACAAACTAGGGCCGAAAGCCATTCGCCAATTTGGTAGGTGACTGTACTTTGTTTTCAGGTCTCAGGTTTCAATAAACCTATCCTCGGAAGAATCCCTAAAAAGGGACACCCAAACCAGGGGCATACCATTTTGTTGGACCAGGGCCATGCCTTGATGTTTGGACCAACAAAGTGCTTGCCTGTCTCCCTCCAGGAACGATCAATCCTCTGAGCTGCTACGACACGGTGGCTAAGGCGTGCGGCCCCTTTTCCCAGACGAGATGGGGATCCATGAGCTGGCATCCTCTTTAGACTACCTTGCTCGAAAAAGGTCTGGATTTTCCAGCGATGATCCTCTTGAACTTGGGGGCATGAACCAGACTTGATCCAAAAAAGGTGCAAAAGGAAGACCCTGTCAGGTTGCAGTTTTCGAAAGAGTGCCATGACATTTGAGCTCTTTGCAACGTTCACATTGAACATCCTTCACGCCATTTGTTTTTCTCCACCGGGTTTTGATTTGCTGGGGAAGCCAATGGAACCGCAAAACACAAAAATGGTTGTGTCCTTCTGTGTTCCTTTAGCACCACCAAACATGGGGGGTATTGCACTAAAAAGCGCACACAATCAAAGACTGACCTCAGGTTTTCCTTTAAAACCAACCAAAAAGGGTCGGTTCCACCCAAAGTCCATCGGTCATTTTGTAGGGGACCAGAACCCCCCAAAATGGCTTCGGTTTGGCTTTGGTGTTCCTTTGAGACCAAACAAAGGACACACCCAAAGAATGGCTTCGGGTTTCCTTTTGGTTTTCCTTTAAAACCAAGCAACAATCGAGGGGGGACTCCATCCGTCTTTTGAAAAAGCCAAGAATGACTCCATCCATCCAATTTTGCTTTTAAACAAGGTAGGGGGTTACTTTTGAAAGAAACAAGACACTTTCCATCCAAAACGACACTCAAATTCCATCTATCACTTTTTGGGACGCAGACGACCCCCCCCAAAGCACACCCAAATGATCCGTCCGTGGTATGATCATCCATCATTTTAGGGCACCCAGAACCCCCCCTACCCCCCAAAACAAAAAAGCTTCGGTTTGTCTGTCTTCCAAAGTATGACCCTCCCCCCCTCCCAAAAAAATCAGCAACAAGAAACACCCAAAAGACCAGCATCCAGTTTTGTTTTGAAACAGGGGTACCTAAAAGGGGGGCGGAGTTCTCCCTTAAAGAAAAGCTCCAGCTCCAAATGGGTGTGATTTAAAATTAAAGTGGAGGGGTTAAGTCCATGTTTTCACTTACCCGGGCAAGCCATTTTGGAGTTCCGTTTTTCGAGCCACTGCCACATGGCCCATCCGCGTATGGTGTCGACAGGCGGAGATCCCCTGCTTCAGCTTTGTGAAGGTGGCCTGCAAGCCCTGGAGCTCCAGCGACTGCGCCTGCGACGAGCAGCTGGGGGCCCCAAGAGGGGGCCGGCGGCGGGGCCCGACGTAGACCCGAAAGGTGGTTTAGGGGTGGGGGGTTGATATAGGAACAGTTTTGGTATTTATGCAAACATGTATGTAATATATACATCTATATATATATATATACATAGTTATATATATATATATGTATACATTGGCTAGACAACTCAGAATGCCATCCCCCGCCCAAATTGGATGGTGAGCAAAACTCATTCTGCGGTTACTTTGTTGAGGGTGCCTAATGTCACACCTGCACTGCAGATGATGGAGGGGGAATCTTTGTGGGCAGTGGCTGGACGCGAGAACAGCTTCGTTCGCAACTCGAGCGCACTCCAAGGAATCCAGTGTGCGTGACGGACATTTCCCAACGGTCGTCACCGGCGTCTCCCGCTGATAAGCGCTCGCCCACAGCAACGCAGTATGAGACTTGCCTGCATAGTTGGGGATTGATCAAAAGGTCCGTGATAAGTGGGATGATCATTTTGGACAACCACTAAAAGCATGATATGCCCCACATGGGAAAAGTTGCCCATAGTCATGTGGGGGCCGAACGGAAAATTGATCAACCCCCCAAATCCAGTGTTTCCGTGTGCGCGATGGCACGTGCGGGACCCCATTTGGTGGCCGAGGCTTGCTGCCCCAAGCCGCCGGAGGAGGAGGACAGCTGAGAGCAGGTGGCTCGATGCTCCAATGACCTGCATGCAACGTAGAGGTAAACAGAAGGCGTTTGTGGCACTATGAAGCAATATGTGTCAGGGGTAAAGCAGGACATGAATATCCCTTGTCTTGATTAGGCGACGCAACAGATGGTCAAGTGTGGGTTCTGTGTCATGCCCTTGTCAGTCGACTTTCGCTTCGGCAAAAAGCCGGACACTAAAAAAAGATCGGATTCGCTGGATGGAGCGAGCTTCGGACTCTGAGCGCGGAAAAAGACTTGCCATCGTGGAAGTTTTGGTGCCACTTTCCATGATACCAAGGAGTGCTTTTGTAGCAACAAATTAATCATGGGGACGGCTTGCTTTGAGAGTGACTTCCACGAAATTCGATGCCCCAAAGTTTGAGATGAATTAGGCACTGGCAAAGAGCTGTTGGGTCTCCCAACTGGGTGCTATGCGCGCAATTCCAGAAAAGTGTTGTTGCAGGTTTCAGGATATGCACCCTCCTTTGCCTATGGTCACAGAGCTATGCAACGTGGCGAGTGACACACTCTGCGGTGGCCTCATCTACGAATGCAATTGCCAAAACAAAGAACGCAAGCTCCGTGTAGTGGCGCGTTCGGAGGGGTGCCAAATCATTAGGAAACCAGCCATATTTAGGGAAGCCCACATCTTTTTGGGGAACCAGCATGATCTTCGTGGTCCGTGATATTGTGTGCACTGTTGCTCACGGGCTGCTCGTGAGCTGTTTTGCGCAAACTGCTGCTAATCCTGCGAAGGCATCGACACCGCTTGGCTTGAATGGTGCTCATGACGTGAAACCCACGAACATTCACACTCGCTCTCCGGCTAGCATGATGATACTATGAATTGGAGTATTTGAGCTCAGCGGCTTTGAGAACATAAATTCCCGACCGCAAGATCTGAGAGCACTTTGGTTGGTTTGCCATGGGGAAGGGAAGGAAGATGCTTACAAAGCTGCCTTCAGAACGGAGTGCTCGCTTGATGAGTCAAATTGGAGTATTTGAGCTCAGCGGCTTTGAGAACATAATTTCCCGACCGCAAGATCTGAGAGCACTGGGTTGGTTTGCCATGGGGAAAGGAAGGAAGAGGCTTGCTAAGCTGCCTTCAGAACGGTGTGCTCGCTTGATGAGTCAAATTGGAGTATTTGAGCTCAGCGGCTTTGAGAACATAAATTCCCGACCGCAAGATCTGAGAGCACTGGGTTGGTTTGCCATGGGGAATGGAAGGAAGAGGCTTGCTAAGCTGCCTTCAGAACGGAGTGCTCGCTTGATGAGTCAAATTGGAGTATTTGAGCTCAGCGGCTTTGAGAACATAAATTCCCGACCGCAAGATCTGAGAGCACTGGGTTGGGGAAGGGAAGGAAGAGGCTTGCTAAGCTGCCTTCAGAACGGAGTGCTCGCTTGATGAGTCAAATTGGAGTATTTGAGCTCAGCGGCTTTGAGAACAAAAATTCCCGACCGCAAGATCTGAGAGCACTGGGTTGGTTTGCCATGGGGAAGGGAAGGAAGATGCTTACAAAGCTGCCTTCAGAACGGAGTGCTCGCTTGATGAGTCAAATTGGAGTATTTGAGCTCAGCGGCTTTGAGAACATAATTTCCCGACCGCAAGATCTGAGAGCACTGGGTTGGTTTGCCATGGGGAAAGGAAGGAAGAGGCTTGCTAAGCTGCCTTCAGAACGGAGTGCTCGCTTGATGAGTCAAATTGGAGTATTTGAGCTCAGCGGCTTTGAGAACATAAATTCCCGACCGCAAGATCTGAGAGCACTGGGTTGGTTTGCCATGGGGAATGGAAGGAAGAGGCTTGCTAAGCTGCCTTCAGAACGGAATGCTCGCTTGATGAGTCAAATTGGAGTATTTGAGCTCAGCGGCTTTGAGAACAAAAATTCCCGACTGCAAGATCTGAAACAGTTGTTATAGCTTGGTCGACCTTTGTTTGATTTTCTGGCACCGCAGCAGCAGCGGCGGCATGGAGCCCAGAAGGCTTTTCGCGCATTTCACGCCAGTGCGGCGCCTCTCTCAAGGCCTTGAACCACGCTCGCGGGTGGGAACAGACTCGCACAGAAAAGTGGGTGCTTGAGCGGGCGCTTTTGTTTGGCAGGCGTGGGTGCAGTGCTGAGCGGGTGCGCTTGAGTGGGCGCAGGCGTGGGCGCAGTGCTGAGCTGGCGCTCGGCTCAACGGGGAGGGTTTGCCCGGACTTACAAGGTGTGTCTTGACGTCAAAATTCAAACTTCATGTCAAGTTTGACCCGGGCTCCGCAATGTGTTTTGAACGTTGCCAAAACGCACACCCGCTCCAGCACGCGCAGCCCACACGCCTGCCAGACGATACGCAAAAAAATCCGGCCGAGAGCGCCCGCTGCCCTTTTTAAGCTGATGCCATGTTGAAAGCCGTCCACTTTTTAGTGGAGCTTGAAGTGACAAGACCGGACACCTTCGGAAAGATCTGATGACTGGGCATGAGACAAGCAAATCTTGCTGGGTCTTGAGGGTTGCCCAGGACTGGGTGCTACGGAGCAGCTCATCGCTGACTGCAGAGAAGATGCACAATCTTCAAAGCTTCCTGACCTGGGAGAGCAACGCGTTGCATTGGGCCGTGCAAAACTTGATTTGAAGTGCGAGCAGCAACATCTTCAGCGCTCAGGTTTTACCACGCGAATGTCGATGAACTCCAAGCACTCCAAGCAGCACTCGGTTCATCCTAATGAACAGCACAGATGGATATAACCTGACTCAAAAGAGCCTTCAGAGCATCTCCACTGTGGGTCTCGCCTGTGCCCATGAACAGCAGTCACCCAGTCGGCCACATGACAAACATGGCGCGTTTCGGAAGAGCCATGGCGTGTTCTGGCATGCCATGAGCAATGGCGCTGGGCAAGGCGGGGTTCCCTTTGAACATGTCTCCGAAAAGGGGAGCCAAGGCTCCGCCAAGAACGCGGAAAAAAGCGCTTTGCCTCAGCGGCGAGCGCTTGATTTTCCGATGGGGGTTTCTCAAAATGGCGGACCCCCGTTTGGTTGGCGTTCAAAAAAGGACATGAAAAGCTAACCATTTTGGGTCATGTTGAGACATTTCCATTTCTGCACCCTAGTCTTCCCAGTGCGGTTTGACCCCCGGATGAGATTGGCAAAAGGGCCAGCAAAAAGGAACCATTATTTCGGCGAACCGTGCGATTTCTTGGGAAACCTTCATGCTTAACGGGAACCCACTCCAATTCTTGTGGTGCTCGGCAGGGAACGAGACCCAGACCGAGTCTGTGCAGGCTGCTGGAGCGCCTCGGTGTCTTTGGCGCTGCGGAAGCGCGCGGTGCAGCTTCCGCCGTGGCTCGGTTCGTTTGGGGGACCCCTGTGGCAGGGAAAAGCCACGTTCATTTGACAGGCACATTGGCAGATGACGGGGGGGCCCTGCTTTGGGGTTCCATGGCAATTTCCAGAGAAGCATTTGGAGAACCACCATAGACCCCTAACAATTTGTGGTTTAAAGGGTTCCCCGCGCCAAACAAACAACACCTATTTGGGTGTGTCTGTTTTTAGGGGGCACCTCCAAAATGATGGTTTTTCTTTTGGTTTCCCTTTCCATTGCGAGTGCTCTATGGGCCTGGGGTGTGCTCCTGCAAAGAGAGAGTGAAGGGTCTTTATATGGCCCAGCGATCCCATGTACCAGTATGGGTAACGAAGGGCTTGGGACGAACAAGAAGGTGTACGGCGCCTGTCTGCAATACATGGGGCACGGCCGCCTTGTCTTGGCTCTCATGATCATTTGGCAGGCGTGTGCACAGTGCTGAGCAGGTGCGCTTGAGCGGGTGCGCGTGTCATTTGGCTGGTGTGCATGCTGAGCAGGTGCGCTGGAGCGGGCGTGCTTCTCATTTGGCAAAGCATGGGTTCAGTCACACAGGCTGCGCGCGGAGTGTGTCTTGCAGCAATTTTCCAGCGCCGCAGTGCGCCAACAACAGCCATTGCAAGTGCCCGTGTCGGGTTTCCTCAACATGTGCGAGTCAGGTTGCTTGTCTTTGGGGGGGAGGCGGAGGCTAGGCGTCAGGCTTGGTGAGTGTTGGCGGGGATTGGCATTCGCGGGGACAAATTTTCAGTTTTCGAACTTGACAGCTTTGGCTCAGAAGACGGTGGCTGCGCGGTTTTGCGAGGATGTGAGGATTGCAAAGAGGATCGATCAGCCGGAAGCCCGTGTTAATGAACAGGTGCTTCATCCCAGGGTGAAGATTGCATTGGGATACTTGTCAGGCAGGCTGCGTTTATTGACGATCGGATCGGATGTTTTGACGGCACGGTGAATGCTCAGATGGCAACATGCAGCAAGCTGAGATCGTTTGTGGAGATGATATGTAGGGTGATGGCAGAAGGCAGTTGGCTGTGGCAATATCATTTGTTGATCGGTGGTGATATGGTAAGATGACAATGCAACGACTTGAGCCAAAGACGATGGCAAATTCACAGGGTGTGATGCCCAGGAAGTGGTAGGACGAAGCGACATGGCCAAAGGCCAACAGATAGACAAACAAGCAAACCAGCTCAAATGCGTTTTCTTGGCCTTAACTGAGCAAAAGCCTGCAGTCGCCTATCTCTTCTTGGACGGGAGCTGATTGTTCAGCCGGTTGTTCCTAAGGGACGCGGTGTTACGCCGGAAGCTGACCGCCCTGGACCTGACCCTCATCGGAGCCTTTGGCACGATTTTTTCTGAGTTTCGCTTTGTTTGTGTTGAGAGGCAAGCGCAACCATGTGCATGGTTGGGTGGC